ACTGTCATATGAAGTTTGTGAGTGAGATGCTGCCCAGAAAACAATTCCTACTTTGGGCACTGATGTAGTTTCCGATTGGGTGCCCTCCGCTGCCTTGTGACAACCTTTCGTTCGACCCGCAATGGACACAAGCCGTCTTCACCCAAATTGCTACTGAATTGTAACGAATTTAAATTACGTCTTTTGCCCACCCAAGTGATGCCGGTCTAGACTTGCTTTTTACCTATTTAAATGCCCAAAATTGACTGTATTTTCAAACGAATTTTTATGTTTGGTTTACTGTATTGCCTTGCAAACAAACTTGTGAGGCAGCGCCAGTGCCATCGTCTGTTCGTGAGAGTGACTGGCCGATTGACAAGCTGGTATCTACACTTAGCTTGGGGAATAAAATTTACGCTTTATTGCTGTAATAAAGGAGTCTTAGTTGAAGTGTTGAGCAAGTTGGTGCGTGCATTCTATGACTGTCGAGCAGACGCTTCTCAGTTCAGTCTTGCCAAAGCCTAATCGCGGGCTCTGAAGTACCTTCGCATGTCAGTCTGGATGCCGATAAGTATGGCATTGCTTGTCCACATTTTCTGCATTTTATAACCCCAGAAGGCGCAAAGCTCAGATTTCTTGTTTACACATCTCTTAACGGATAATTAATGGTCGTTTTTATGGTTTTTGTTTGTCTACCGCTTCTCCTCTGACTGTAAAAGCGACTTCGCATTATCGCTAAGCTGTCTAGACAACAGATAGCAGTGGTGTCTGAGTCAGAACGCCCGCAAATTGAAAAGAAGAAAACATGCTTTGGCGAGGATGAACTTTCCAATTCTTGCCAATACTTTCATTGCTCTTTCAGGCCCAACTACAAAGGCGTGGCGGAGAGGAGGTCGCTGGTGCGATACCGTTGACAAGTTAATGACTAAAGTTATCAACTGGAAAATTTATTGTGTTATCGCAATGCAACACCCTCCACCAACACATCCCCTTTTTTGGAGAAAACAAGAAGCTCTTGTAATAGAAAACATTAAACTTATAAAGTTTTGTGAGCTTATTCATTGGAGGGTGGATCATTATCATGCGCTTTGTCTTATTTTTAACAAGTTTATGTGAATAAAATTGAGAGTTTTGACACAAACGTCGTCGAATCAAAGCAAAATAAACGAGAAAAAAAGGGCCCTTTCAAAGGCATACGCAGCCTGCCTTAAATTTGTTTTAAGCTCCGTCACAGCGTTTGAGATACAAGTTGATACAATTGCATTAGGCTATGTGTTTGTGAAGTCCTTAATTTCGGAAATGTCCATTCAGGGGCTCCGCCACTGCGACTTTGGTAGATGGACTGGCCCTTGAGCCACGTCAGCAGTTGCAGGCCCTTCTTCATGCTGAATATATGCGTGCGCCTTCGGTTGACGATGGCCTTGGAAAGCAACTCCTATCTTAAAATACATCCATTCTGTGGTCGACTGCTAGACAGTACGTCTGAGTGCGGAGGAGGCCGCACTTTGCTGCAAAAAGATAAGAAGGTGACGTCCACCTTCGGTATCCACTCCGGTCAGAGAGTCCACCGAAAAGCTAGCTACACTTAATATGACAGCCGCATAGTCATTAACTGAATAGATGTGAGCGGGTAGCAACCAAGTGAGATTGAAGGGTCAAGAAAGAGTGAGTGCTAAATTCCGACCCCTCGTGATGATGCTAAAACCATGTCCTTGTAGCTGGACATTGCTTTTGAGTCGCTGCGCCTACGATTAGCGATGAAGATTCGTGATAATCAGTGCATTGCCTCAACGTGCACCGCCAGCTCTAGGTAGATTCACCTGAGGAATCAGTGACGTTGTGACCTGACATCGCCTTAAGGCCTTGGACTCAATGTCTTGGAGCGGTCGCCTCGTAAGTGTCGGTTTCCTCACAGTCATGAGTGCATTGTGGTAATCAACGAGGATAAGATCTATCAAGAGGAACGTGAAGGAAGGCTTGCAGTACTCATTTTGACTCTTTGTTGCTGTTCCTTCACTTGTGCTTCTACCAAGTGGCCTGGCTTCAGCACGGTGGCAGTGCTTTATTGTGTCTTCAGGGAAACCTTGAGGCGTCACACAATCACACAACACAAAGCGATAACAAACACGACATACGTGTGCGACACCAGACTGTGACAAGGGAATCTCGACAAATGATGCATGCGTGCATGCGCGTCATCCGCTTAAACCACTTTAATTAATTACTCGGACTACTTTTGATGGTACCGCTTTAACAGCGACAGCCCTTCATTCTACACACTTTCGGCAATCATTTTAATGCTGTCCCAATTCATTCATGTGTACCAATTCGTTTGTGCAAGGCTTGCCGCAGGGAATGGAACATTTATGGACTTCATTTGAAAGCGTGAACAATAACAATTGGGTCCAACTATCAAGATGTTACTGCTAATGAATTGTGGCGCCCCATGACTGCTCTGGCTGAATGCGTGTTGGCAATCTGGAGAACAATTTGGCTCTGACGCTAAACCACCCAGTGGTGGCACAACGATGAAGCACCTCAACGCCAGTTTGGTTAAAGTCAAGAGCTACACAAACAACTAAGGCGTTAGTTATTGCTTATCGCTGCTAAGAGATTGCAGCAAGTTTCCACCTGTTTCTTGCTAAAGTACTGCCATCCACTTTAACGTTAAAGCTAACCTTGTAGGTGAACAGGAAGCAGTCAGTCTTAGTGATGTACATGAGCTACCTTATGTGACACACAGTGTTGATGGAAAACTATTCTAAAAGTAGGCAAATAGCTGAACTTAGCTTCAACCGTTGTTCTGTCAATCACTTGTGTTTTGAATGTCAACAGAGGACGGCGATAGGCAGGTGGGTTAGTGACACTCCGTTCGCGGTGCCATTGGCCTGATTGCAGACATCACGGCTCCTCCGCAGAGCATGCAATGCGTTATTCACCCTCAAATCCCCTCACAGCACTTTCATCCCATCACCTTAAGAGTTGCGCAATCCGCCTTAAGCAAAGTAGGGTAAACCGTAAGCACTCTGATTGCAACGAGTAATTTTGGTACGACAAAAACAAGCTAAAGCTTGCTATAATACTTAATAACGACAAGGTAATGTTCATTGAAGTTGTTTACTTGTACCATTTTTGCTCCAAGTCGCTTGATTGGAGCATCGTGAGGCGTCAGATGCATAGTCGCATTAGCAAAGCACCTGACTGAAATGGCTTCACTAATGACAAGTCCAAAGGCAGAGTCAACAAATACGTCAAAGCAAAGTGGACTGAAGAAATGTTAGAGGTAATCGAAGTTGGTTTTATTCTATTTACATAGAACTTTTCTTAAAAGCATTTGTATTACTTCTCTACATCTTTTTAATACCTTCACTTATGCCCTTTCAAGAGGCAATGATACACCGAACCGCCTGTAGAAAAGGCGAGACTTAAATTGTGTGCAGTACTCTGCCTCTCCGCCCTATCACTGCAACCTGGGCGCGCGGATATGGGGAGGACAACGAAGGAACGTGGGAGAACGAAGTAATAGCAACATTGCTTTTCCAATCGGGTGACAAAAAATAACTTGTTTCTGTCGTCATGGCAACGCATAACACGTATTGTGTACCTCCGTGAGCCGCGTTGGGCCACAAACAAGGCCTACGAGAGTGTGCGCGCAGGTGCGTAAGTGGGCGCAACACTCTTCCCAGTGGGTGATAGTATCAAATGCCTTAGTGTCATAAAACCCTTGATGGTTGTCCGTATTAATTATTACCACGCAGCTTAACAACGACAAGACGCCACTTCAATGCACCTCCCAAGGAGGCGCCATTGTGATACTTATCTTCACAATCGACTTCGATTTCATACCGCCTCTGTCCCCAGCTCCAGTAAGGCGTTAGAGCCGCGTTGCGGGTCAGACCTAACCTCCCTCTTGATAAGACGCATAGCCTGATCAGGGTCTTGGTTGTTCTAGTGAGAGTTGGCGATTACAGACCCGCAGATAACTACGTTGTCGGGGCCAGAAAACAGTGTAGTGAAGTCGCTGAAAGCAAAAAAAGGTCGAAGCAACAAAATCGACAACGTGAGCCATTGGCCTTCGGGTGTATCTTCGACAGGTGGTGGACAGAATATCACCTCTTCCACTCGATTCCACCGGAAGTGGCAAAACTCACTATCGGAAAACTGAATTTCGAATCAGAATAACTAGAGGACGAGCGATTCAAGTGAAACTGCCACCAGGTATGACCCTTGACGGAAGTACAGTAATTTTCACAGCTTCAAGCGAATGACCGAAAGAGAACCATTCGGGGGGACTACCAGGCACAGATCCAATGGTTGGCTTAATGGCCAGTGGTGAGCCCGAAAATCACCTTAAGATTCGGTAACGACTACTATTTAGATCAAAAAATCTGTTGGAAATATTACCAACTCCCATTATTCTATTACCACTTCTATTCTAATACTTCTTCACACCCCACTCAAGCATGAGAAAAAAATGAAGCGTTTTGGCAAATGGGAAAGTTTAATTGTCTTTGGGAGGAGATAAAGTCTACGTCCTCAAAAAAAAAAAAACAAGTGACTCAAGGCAGCTTAGACCTTCCCATTGTTATGTAACACAGTCTTCCAAAAGTTGCGCATCTTAAGAATCGGAAAAAAAGGACAATTGAAATTTATGCAAGGGACAATTGAATGTAGACATGCCATTTGCTATTGTTCACAAAGAAGGACATTCTACGCCGCAAACCCCGACAAATGACTGGGATAGAAGAGAGAAGAGAAAGTGAGGCTGCATTTGATCCAATTTCAGTTTATACATTCATGCGAAAGGTGGTGGACAAATCACAATGGAGAAGGGGGGGAGGGGAGATAAATATATTCGCATCATGTACAAGTTGACATTGGGTCTCAATAAAAAGACTAGAAGATTTAATAATGAGACAATGAGACACAGAGGTACGCACACATAGCTAAGGTCGATCCATGAACCCACAGAAGGAGGAAATTAGGCATATTCACCCGCCGCACTGACAACATGACCGGCCTCACCTACGCTGCCGAGAGGAGGGACGGGAGGATGGAGTGACAGTGGAGGCGCGGGTACGCTTCCTAGGTGACTCTGTGGTCACCAATGCCTGACTAGGCAACGAGATGCGCCGACGCGAGCTTACGGCAGGTTTCTCCACCTCTGTACTTTTCCTTTTTCGTTCACCTATCTCCTTTTCGCCTCTTTCCAGTGACTGGCCTCTTCTGCTACGGTTAGTCAATGTCTTCCCTTTCTTCGCCTCCGCTCCTTGTTTTTGCTTCTGGGACCGCGTTAGCTGATCCGCCTTTTCTTTCTCCACAGCAGACCTTCGAGTTTGCATTCCACTTCTCACACGAGACGTAGTAGACACGGAATTTGAGGTGCGCGTACGGCGTGGAGTCGTTTGAACTTCATCAACTGAGCGACGGGAACGACGTCGTTTAACAGCAGTTGGAGTCGCAGTCGATTTAGACGAAGCAGCAATCTTTGCAGTAGCCTCTCTAGGAGGCTTCTTTTGTCCACGTGTACATGGGGAGGTTGGCTCCTCTTCGTCATCCATTTTCACTACTTCTGCCTTGGTACTCATCACATTTTGAGGGAAGTGATTTCTTTCCTGCTCGATTGCTTCCTTTGAGGAACTGTCAGGGGAGGCTTTCGGTGAATAACTGAGAAAAGAAGTCAAAATTACAACACAATTTCGGTGAAGCGTGAACACAACGTCGACTCACCTTTCACCAGGAGCAGAAAGCGCTTCTGTACGTGGGGAACCTATAGGACTGATTTTCAAGGGCGCAGTGACGATAGGAGATGATTCCAACTCAGCGACGGGGCTCTTCGGGGCGGATTCCAGCAGCCCATTCAGCAGAAGGGTCTCCACTTCGGGGTCCTTCTTCACCTCGGTCGCAAGTGCACCTAATTCCATTGAGCAGCGATCGCTGACCACTAGTTCCGGTTCTGGTAAGTGGGAGGCTTCATCTTCTAAGTTTTCCGTGGGAATCTTAGTAAACTCCTCCGATCTACCATTCTCTTTGCTACGATAAAAGAAGGAGCACCCTTAGCGTGCAAAGAGAAGTTGAATACCAAAATTAACATTGAAAATGTACTACTAAAGAAATTTCGAAACAAATTAGGGCAGTGAATGACATACCCAACAAGGGCATCCAAATCATATCTATCGTGATACTTATTGTAAAAGTCGCGAACAATGCTTTCCGACTTTGTTCCCAAAATTCTTGCAACCTTGATGAAGTCCTTGCCATATTCCCTGAGAGCCATGAGGAGAAGCGCCAATTCTGACTTTGTCCAGCGGAAGGAAACCTAAAGACGCAAACACACATACACAAATGCTCTCTAAAAGAGAATCCAACTAGTGCTTTTCCCTTCCTACAAGTGTGATAGAAGAAAATAAAGTGTGGCAACAGGAGAAGAGGACTGCACAGCTGTGCAAAGTACCCCTCTTCCACCAAAGCTTCTAGAGGTGGCAATGCAGAATAAGCTGATGGCGCTGTGATGTTATAGAAAGTTTTCCTTTTTCTAAGCAATGCAGGCCAAATTATTGCGTCCGCTTACCAGTACTTCTTTTTCCCCATTCGTTTTTTATGTTTTGCTGCAATTCTCTCCCTCACTACATTATTACAACACTGAAGGCGGTGGCGATGTTTTGGTGGTTTGCGCTCTCCTCTTATCCGTCTCTGAATCCACCTCCTCTCCTTTTCTAATGCTCGCTATTTTCAGCACGCTAAGCACATGCCACTACCATTTGTGGGACAATGAAAGGCCTGCAGGCCCGTCACACACGCACAATTAGGAGAGGAGGATATGCAGACGAGAAGCGCGTACATGCGACTTTCGTCCACGCGTGTGCGCATGCGCGTGCGCGAGGGAGAGTATGACAGTTATACAAACAGCAGGGATATTTTACTTCCAAACAAAAAAGAATCACAAGTATCAGTAGTAGGCGAAAAAATCAAATTGTTAAGAAGATTTAAGTACGACGGTTTCAGTCTGGAGAGCTGTAAGGGGAGCAATGGCAAGCAAAATCCGATAGGCATGGCGATGATACGAACAAAACATGGTCATCACAGCTTCTACACAAGTTTAATAAGGACTGATGAGTCAGGCATACAGAGGAGACAGGCTTTACATGAAATCTCACACGTCTTCGTTACAGTAAGTGTTCGAAGGCATGCTCATAACTGAAAAAAAAACTACATTGCGCTGAGGAGAGTACCTGTGTATCCAGCGAAACACTGGCAAAGTCCACAGATTACTATTTTAAAGTTTAATCCAACAGTATCGGGAATCATTTAGTCAATTCAGCACCTAAAGCCCATTTTAAGCAGAGATAAAGGTTGAAAAGCACGAACATCGTTCAGACAAGTGGTACCCCAAGACGTCCAAAGGCCAATAGATTTTCACCACATTTAGGCAGTGGAAGGCATCTCACACGCCGCCTAAAGCCGTTAATTTGATTGGGCTGCAACCCAAATGACCAGGCAAATGGAAGACAAGTGAGGTGTGAAGGGAAATAAAAGATCAGTAGTGCTACTGATAAGAAACTAAGTAACAATAAAGCTACAGTTCCAAAATAGTTTGACAAGTTTGGCGGTCATGTGGATCCAGCCACGGCTATTCCTAAAGCCAATTAAAGAGCACAAAATGACTAAATAAGCGATCTGGTTCATGCTAAAATTTCATTTTGAGGCAGAAGTATTGAACTGGGTTAACAAATTAGATGGAAGCAGTAAAAGTGCAGTCCTGCAATGTGTACTAACTACTGACCACTTCTTTCCACTACTGAAAAACAGTACACGGGTAGTGAAAGGCAAAATCGCGTTATTCCTCGTCCGAATGAAAATCACGAGCGACTTTTGAGCTAAGTTGTACCAAATGTACTCACATTAGAGAATTTTAGTGTGTAGGTGTTAGCAAAACTAAAGATAGACCTCAAATGAATGACAAAAAGTTGACTCACCGGTAAAAACCCTTTTTTGGGGAAAAATGAATCCAATCCCTCAAAAATGTGCTTATTTTGAGAATCGACCAGCTAAAACGGGAGAGAAAAGACTGGAATGAAGTTAGAAAAGCAGGCTAATTAAATGCGATAGACGTATGCATGGCCCAAAGAGTGACTAGTAGTCTTATTAAAAATATATACTGCTGACTCCGATCAACTAATGATAAACTACAAAGGATAAAGGGTTCAAAAGCCCAAGATACCTCGGTGCGAACTTTCAGTTCAGTGTCCAGCGACGAGAGCGTTGCTTTTGACTCTTTTTGCTTTTGTTTCAAATCTTCGACGGGAGTTGTCACGAATTCTCTAAACTTGCCGTAGTCGAAGTCGAGTTCGGGTGGAATGCTCCGTTTAGCGGCCCTGAAAGCCAAAGTCGAAAGGTCAAACAGCAAACAAACGCTGTAGCGTTGCTACTCAAAGCAGGTAAAGTAGAAAGTCTCATTTAAAATTACCCTACTCCGGAAGGGAAACTTGGCAGCAGTGCATAGGCTTATTGACATGATTGAAAGAATTAACTTGGTCTGAGCTTTCAAGCTTGTTTCATTAAGAGAAGGTTAGGAGAAAAGAAACAACAAAAAAAGTTGAAAGAAGGCAAGCAAGGTATTAATATGCTTAATAATTTCATTTTGAGGCAGTCTTTATCGGTGCAAACACAAAAGTACATATGCAGGCTATGTAAAGGACACAAAGAACGAATACCGGCTTTATTTTGCCAAAAGGATTCCGCAACCAACTACATAATCAGAAGAACGGTCGTGTTGAGATTTTGAACTTTAGCAGGATTGACACTGTCATACGCCACCATCACAGTGACCTTAATAGGCAAAACGGTCAACAATGAGCCTCCTCAATTTTGACAAATATAGAGGCCTGGCAAAATGATCGGAGCCAATCACCACCTAAAATGATGGAAATCACATCATAACCAGGAGGAGACGACCATACGTAGCCGCAGTGTGCAACCGATTGCCAGTCCATTACAACCATCAGAGGGACAATGCGAATTCGGTGCGCGCACTTTTAGCAGCATATGGCATATTTGACATTCCAGACCACAAGAAAGTGTGCACAGGAGAAATGGACTTTTGTGGAATAGAGGGAGACCGAAGACAGAGAACATTTGTGATGAGTTCAAACACATTTTCAAAGATCAAAGATCACAGGTAGAGAAACGAGGAGTGACAAAGACCCACTGGTGATGATTTGGGAGCCGAATGGAGCGCACCTCTTCATGTTCAAATTTAAGGCATGTGTTGTATGTTTAGTGCGAAACTTGGGATAACACATAGCGCTTCAAATCCCCAAATCAACATTGATGGGAGAAGTAGTTCAAAAAACCAGCCAAAGAAATGGAGAAAAGAATCCGCACATCATATCGCGGTTATCAGTAGCGTTCTGGATGAGTGTCGAGCAGTCTTGCACTGCACTGCTCTTGTAAGAAAGCACTTAAGCGGCAGCAGGGCTGCGGCAATGGTGGACAAGAGCGACGTGAAGAAAATCAACAAGCTATGGTTCCGTGCCTTAAAACAAACCTGTATGTTAGCTGGACGCTGTTATGCAACGAAAAAGGCGATGCCCGGTGGCGTGCATAGGCGCGAAATGAGCACTCGAATGAACAATACTTAACGCATAATCACTGACCAAAACGTCAGAACAAACATGTATCAAATGACACCAACTTATTAAAGATCACAGGTCGAATGAAGCACAAACATCTACGAAGTCATCAAGGTCTACACAGTTGACCTCGTTATCAATATTGTTATCTGACTAACGAAAATTAGAGTAAAACATGAGATAAGAGGTCAACACAAAGCAGGCATACAGGCATGAGAAATGTCAGGAAATTCAACGAAATGCCAAGTTTGACACAACAAACTCCAGTCATTCTCGTCGCGTAAGCACGGGGAGAAGGGCAGTGATACACAAGGAACGGATGGATCTCGATGTGTAACAGGAGATTTGATAATAGTGCAAGAGGGTTGAGCAATGGCTCACTCTCTAAGCATTCGAAAAGCCTGACCTGATTCAATTTGACCTTTTTACATAAACCTGAGTGCGAGTCCGAGAAACGGTTCTATTTCACGCTTAATTTTCACACACTCATCACCACGTACTAATTGTGTGCGTAGTTAAGGTGTTATCAGACTGAATATAGTGAAAAAAAATGGCCTTCAAGGAAATTTTGATTACTTTCCTCAAAACGCAGCAGACAAGATTAGATGCTAGACACTATTTTTAAAGAAATATGGCATCACAATAAAATGTGGTATCGTCGATCAAAAGAAAATTATTGTATGGATGTAAACCAAACAAACTTACTACAAAGCAGAAATGCATCGATTCCACAATTTAATTATTATTTCAAAATATTTCTTATCGCACCTTCGCGTATTAATATACAGTTAAGCCGACAAGCGTGTCGCAATGTTTCTCTTTCCAAAGAATACGTCAGAAAAGGTGGTCGCACATGCTCTTGAACGCTAGTCATGAGTAAATATTGGTTTAATTACCAATGTAAAATTCGATTATTAATGGCCGAAAGTTAAGTCTATTGCCACATTTTCGAGGAAAAGACACACTTAACCGAACAGAAAAAGTAGCAAATAGGTGAACCGACTAAACTCAGCCCTACTTAGAGTGAGATTCCAGGGCTGAAGAGTGGTCAGAACTGCCGACGAGTGATTCTGTGGCAGCAGCGGCAGCAACATATCTACGACCGAAGGGGAGTGCTCCATTCGCAATGCCGCCATAGGGCAGACGCACGTGCACAGTCGCATTAGAAGCAGTGGGAGGATCGGTCACCGAACGACCTCGCCGGACACTGGCAACAACTTTGTTGGCCCGCTCCTGACCCAGCATTTCGCAAAGGTATCGCTCAAACGAGACGTCCGCCTCGGCCTCTTCAGGATCCACCACAGAGGGAATGACCGGTACAGGAACAGCACTGGAAGCAGTGAAACCACGCTTCACGGCTCTCTCATAACAGACCTGCATTTGACGACCATGCTTGCGATTATGTCGCGGAATAGCCTTAAAGGGTGCTGCGATAGCGTAGTACAGAGCATGGAGCTCACCCATACGGTAAGCAGGAAACTGAAAGAATGAGGATATCAAGTCAGGCATTCTAACAATATTAGCTAGAATCTCAACCCTCTAACTTAATGAGAACGTTAGAAATAAGTCAGCTTGATAAACAAAGACCTATAAGGGCAATGTACTAAGCAACTGAAAAAAAACTGTACGGTTTGGGTTAGAATTTGTTCAAAATGATAGTTTTGATGCAATGCATCCTAAACAAAAAAGTAAGTACACATAAAGTATGGCTGTCTAGAAAGAATTTTCTGTCGTGATACAGAAACGGAATGAATTACGTAAGTTGCCGTCCAAATTAAGTAGATCAAAAGAGGACGACTTACGACGACCAAAAGTGAAAATCAAGTTGTTAATTATAATGTGCATCGAAGGCAACAATAGAAGTGTTGGAAGATAAACCGGTCTTAAATGTATTCAAAAAGATCCCTTGAAATGAGAAAGTAAAACGCTTCTAGGACAAATGAACTGTTGAGAAAGTATCGCCACAGAAAACTAGCTACAGAGCAATATAGAATAAGAAGCAAGGAAGACCTACTGATTCACTGACGTTGACAAAATTTTTACGAGGTCTACTGTCCACACACTTCAAGAAACGTCTAACTTCGAGCTTGTTATAAGTATTAAGGATGGGTTGATAATTAGGGAGATCATCCAGGGCTTGTTGTACGTTGTACTTGTGATAATGTAAAAATATTCTGGCAGATTCTTCCGGATACCTAAATTAGAAAAGCAATTCATGTGGGGCCATAACCGCAACAAAGTGTAAGTAAGACTAGAGATAAGTTATGTAAAACCCATTTGGGGTAGATTAATAATAGGCAAAATAGATCTCAAAAATTAGTTAGCGGAAAAAGAGCAACATACTTGTGTTTCTTAGCTTCAGATAAGTAGATATCAACATCAGATAATGGCGGACTGTGCTCAGGATTCCAAACATTGATCTCCCTAATAGATCGTTCGCAAGCAAAAGATGGTGATCGATTGTAAACAAACTCCGGAACATCAACTTGGTAGCTGGAGCCAACACGAGAAGAAACTGCAAACACAACACATGCGTTCAAGTACTAGAAGATGTGGGATCGATCACAGCCAAAATTACTCAAATTTAAAGATTCAAAACAGTGGCGAAGATACATGCAGCAATAATATTCCCAACAACATGACAAACGCACCATCAACCTCCTTGAGCTTCTTCGATGACTTTGCTGATTTACCATTGGCATTTCGTTTGACGGCAGACATGGTTACAGCAAAATTGTCGCGCTTCCCAAAAATTTACAAAGTCCACCTCGAATTCGTGAAGCGAAGAAATGACCTTCAAACGGCATGTTAAACAACAACACCTAAACGATTGCCCTGGAAAAATAAAGGCTGTTTTAATTTTTTTGATGACAAATCAAAAATAAATCTATATAATTTGGCAGTATTTGAAACAGTATGGACATCTTTGCAGACTGACGAATATATTGCTTAAAAAGGAATAATATTATCTTTAGTTTTCGATGCCACAGCGGTTAACAGGAACATTCAATTCATGTAAATGTGAATGAAGACAACTACGACGATTACAATAACTAGGATCAATGCTCTCATAAATCACTTAAGACTTTCTGATTTTTTAACAAAAAACGTGTCTGCACACGTGTCGTTTAAAATTTTGTCAGTGATCTTCTGCATGCACATGGGATCACCATTTATAGGATTACTTCCTTTGGATTAAATTTTCACTTACAATATGCAGTCACCTGCCAGGCGCTCATTTTAGGATTTGTCTGAATCTTGCACGTGTAGGCTAGCTCTCGGGCCATGCTCAGGCCTAATTATATTATTCTCCCTAGTATACATGTATTTAGCCCCAATTTCTGCTGAGCTCTGAACAGTCTCGAGACGCTACAGTTGGAGTGAAATCCGGCCTTGATTGGCTTCCATTATTTTGGGGATTTTTTGCAATTTATGAACTAAATCGCGGATCCAACACCATTTGTTCATGTATTTTTTGATGCTGTCAGTTGTCGCATATGTGGCGTTCCGAAATCTCCTACCAGGCAGAAAAGCAGTAAGTGGATCTGGATACATGTATTCCAAGGAGAATAAAGTAACTAGACCTGCCCACGCGTACAAGAGTCAGACAAATCTTAAATGTACCGCCAAACGTCAGGCGACCACACAAAGTATTACAACACGATACTCAAATTTGATGTCCTAACCTGCTACGACCCAGCCGGCTACTGCCTTCCCACCCAGCAGATGTGAACTTCCCCTGCGTCGTTTGATCTCAAGTTTCGAAATGCGGTCAGTTAAGAGTAGAGTCATCGCCAGTTACTCTGGAATTTACTGGTTGGATGTTCTCCAAGGTGTCGATCGGGATAGAAACACGAATCCAAGCGGAATTATTCAAAGCCTTGGCTAAGCAAGAGAAAGGGAGGGTAAGCGCTCAACACCACGCGTAAAGCTATCCACTAAACTTACGACTCCCAACCCCAAATCAAGAAAATTTTTGGGGACCTCTAGTCGGAAATGATAAAACATTATCCTTTTTCAGGGTCCAAAATAACCGATTAGCTCCGCAACAATTACCATCAAAAGCCGAGAATGTGCCATCAGTGCATTTTCAAATAAAGGAACACAAGTTCATATTAAAATTGTCCATGCGCACAATGCCAACTATATACATTTCACAAAGGGTGGGTGATCTCGTTGTAGAGTATCTGTAACTGATCATCATCGAAGTAGAATTCATGGCGAAAACGAATTTCTTTCAACCTATCTGCCTTGTTGCGGTTCACCTGTAATCGCTTATTTATACGCAACGGGCATTTTTTCCTCAACGGAGGAGACTCACTATCGACAGCCTTTACGTCGTTTGGAGCAAAGTGTGTAATACGGGGGCGATTCTTTACGGTAGCGCCCAATCCTAATCTGTCGCGTTTGAGCACCGTTGCTATGGGCAAACGGCGTCCTTGGCCCCGCCGACCAAGTCCACCAGCATCGATTGATCCTGCATCAACAGAACCGACAGAGATATCCATAACGGCGAAGTCGGTCCATCCCAAGTGTCGAAGTATTTTGTATCCTCGATTTGATGGAGGAATAAGTAATGGAGATGGTCGAATCGGCTCATTAAATAGGACGGAAACTTGGTGGTGAAGGGAAGACACATGAGACCGGGACATGGGGTCACAGTTGCGCGAACATGACGACTGTGTCCAAGAAGAGGCATTCTGAGATCCTAGCTGTGTCCTTTGATCATCGAACAAGCTGAGGTAAAATTCGCGAGCCTCATCACCACTTAGCGGAGAGGTCGAATTTTCGATTCCGCCTGAGGCATTTTTTGGAAGATCGGATGCCTCCGATTCCCTGACAAAATGCTTGCTTATAAGATCGTGAGTCTACAAGTTAAAACGGTCCATTGGACATTTGTTTTTAAAACGCATTCTTTAGGGCACACTTTGGGGTGACTAATTAACAAGACCGAAGGAAATTTATGGGAGTGCAAATGATTTCAAGAGACAATAGGTTACACACTCTTGACAACAACTAAGTACTGAGGATAGAGTAACAACGTTGTAAAATTAAAACGTGAAACTAAACTCACGCACTGCATTGCGGCTACATTAGAGTCGTAAAGAGTGTATGGGTGCGGCGGGTGATCGTCGTACGCAGATGATTGCAATTAACAAAGTAACTCACCCGGAAATAAATATATTGAACTTGAAAAAATCAATTGTTCAAGAGTGTACAGAACTTAGGAAACTGAATGCGCTAAATAATCTATTTAATGTGAACAAAACATGAAACAAAAATTAAAGGACTACAATTACAGGTGATTTAAATTAATTTTGATTCAAATTTTACTGCATATAATATTCAAAATCTGAAGCTCATCTCTAAGCTCAGAAAAACTACAAACATTTGTTCCCTTTTTAGTAGCACCGTTTCCTCGGCCGAGGTCAGCCATCTAACCACGCTTTACTCGGCCAACGCTTATCCTGTCAAACAGGTTTGTCTTTTGTAATGCTTTGTTCCTGTGACTATCTGACGTTTGGCGGTTACTTTTAGAATTTTTCTGGTCCTTGTACTCGTGGGCTGGCCTTCGGGTCGTGTTCAGGCCCAATTGCTCTGTTCCCTTCGGAATACATGCATCCAGCCCCACTTACTGCCTTTTCCCACCCTATGGGAAGTCTTGGGACGCTGCACTAATGTCAGTGGAAAGCGAACCTGACATGTTCTCGGTGACCCCCATCCTAACAGCACTTTGATGCATGTACCTACGGTATGAAAGAGACATTTTTGCATCGGTGGCGGAGAATCTCTGAATCTCTCACAACGAAAGGGTCGAGATCGACGTTTGCATTTGGCCTCACCTTGTTCCCGTGTTCCACAGACAAGCTATCGACAACTGAAGTGACACCGCTGTGAACCATCTGGAAAAGTTTTGTGTCGGAATTTTCCCTACAAAACTCGTGTATAGGTGTGGGAAATGACGCAGCAGATCTCCTTACATACGGGACGGTGGCTTATCCCGTTTCCTCTATAACATCTGTTTTAGACCAGAGTTTTACCATCTAGTCCTCAACGAAATTGATGGTCAACAGATGTATGCTGTCCTGAATCTGATTGTCAGATCGAACGTAACTCCAGATCCAGTTGAAGCTGCCGAGGAGACCAGGTACGGTTGCTCAGTCTCATAGTAGGTGTTGGCTGACGCGGGAGGTGCACCAAAGGGGAACGCCGAGGACGTCGCTCAAAAGAAGAGGGGCAGTATGATGCTTTGTTTCTGTGTCTTTTTACGTTTGGCGGTCACTTTTAGGATTTGTCTGGCCCTTTTACTCATGAGCTGGCCTTCAGGCCATGCTCAGGTCCAATCACTCTGTTCTCTTCGGAATGCATATATCCAGCCTCACTTACTGCCTTTTTCAACCCTATGGGGAGTCTCGGGACGCTACACCTTCACTTTCAAAAAAAAATCGGATACCACTTTGGTAGCAACGGGGACAATTTAATAATTAAATGGCGAATCTCTTCTTATCTACGGAAAATGACGTCATTAGAACAGTCAGTGTTTTCTTCAAGTAGGGGGCTGAGATTAACACGTCCCTTTCGTGTATAACTCCATGTAGGAACTGTCTGCCTACTCTAATGCCACTGAATCTCGAACTTTAAGAGAGGGTTAGTTGCAGTAGATCTATCAGGTATTGAATAAAGATAGAGCAGCGGTGGCAGATATCACCCGCGGAGGGGATTCTCACGCACGGGATTTGCGTCCGAATTGACTTTCATCTCTCGCCTATCGAGTTAATGTTAAACACTAGTATGCATTGCACTCCGATCCTAGCTCTCTGAAACAAATGAGTGTAGTAGAAGGGGCGCTGGCTTTGATGCGTGTTAGAACTCTCCCTTACATAGCTACGATCAGCATCTCAAAATGGCAGTAGATATGCAAATACATGGTTTCATTTTCAGTTTGATGCTTACTGGTCTAGACTCAACTAGACGATACTGAAGCGCGGACAACAATGGCATGACGAATAAGTACAGAAGCTGATTTCCTTATTAGCAGACCCTGTTTTTTACAAAGTATTTCTGTGGGCAGTCGTTGTCACACTCAATGGCCACCAAGTCCAGAGTCAGTGGAGACACAGCGGTTGAGCAGCTTTTGCTAGCCGCATGGAATTTCGATAACTAGCATGCTCTGCTCATGATTGTGTTCCTTACATAACCATCGCGGTTAAATTAAAGGGAGCCCAAGGTACAAAGCTCAAAAATGCGAAATAGCATGCTCAATGTTACTTGTATAGTTGGATATCTACTTTGACAATAGTCTACTTCGGGCTTCGCCAATGTAGTTCCCCACGTAATCTACAGTGCTATTGAGATGATCCGCAATATTTGCTAGGTGTGAAAAGTTATTATCAATTGAATGGCAGCACTGGATGGTCCTATTTTCAATCCAAAAACCAAACTCTAAGCAACTGAACGAGTTCTGCAGACCAATTTTTTTTGTCTTTTAATCGCCACAGCTAAGGTTTAGACAAACAAGGCATTGATCAAGTCGAAGATGCACTTGACGCGTTGGGGTATGCGCGAAATTGAAGTCATTACCCGGGCCTGGCATCCTCAAATCCTTATAATGAGATCATTTGAACTTTGGTTCACAATTTTTTGCGTCAAAATACACAACTCCATGAGACTCAGAGCGCTATTCCGCACATTCGCAGAAGTCCGGAATCAAGCAATTTAGCACGTTTAAAGTGATCAACACCATGAGGACAACGCTCACAGGTATTTAAAAAACGTTTTGGTTTAATCGATCAGTTTAACCCAAACGACTTAAGCACATTTACAAGCCCTCCCATCTACAACCATTGCCACTACACGTGCGCGTCCTCCCACACTACAGACGCAATGCCCAATTCATGATTGAGCCGTCTCCTTGCTGCTTATGCAAACTAACAGAAAACAAAATCGGGGTAGTACTCAAAGCTAACATATCTCACAGGCGGTTATATAACTCACCTAGTGCCTTTATTTACTCCCAATGTAAGTTTTCACATATGAAGGGGTAAGAACGAAGTAATTAAAACTAGGTGTTAGAAACAACCCAGTTGCATCGCGTCCCCAACATGAAGGGCTGGACACTTGTGTAAGTGACAGGTATGTATTCTTTCAAACAGTACTGTTCGTCGGGGGATCCGCTTTCCCAGGTTGGAAGTTTTCGAATGAGGGGAGGGAGTTGGAGGGACGGAAGTTCACATGCAGACTGGGGGAGGAGATCATCACGTATTGGTAATTACTAGCAGGAACTCTTTTACCTCCGCCACCGATACCACTACCGCTCCCAGCAACCCCAGGGACAACGCCATTGTTAACTAGCTTCGGAGAGCGCCAAAACTGCTTGAAGGGTAGGAGGAGGGCAGTGGTGCAGCGAGGAGCGCTGTGATTCCCGACAAAGTCAAATCGCTGGCGCCTTCTTCGACAGTAGATGCAATAGGCGGAGATGGAAAGACAAGCGAAGAAGAAAAGAAGGAGTAAGAATGCGGTAGTCTGACGATGCGTAAAACCCACCACCGGATCTGGTTCTTTGGCTAGCAGGAGCTCGAACTCAGGTCTACAAGGAAACGCAATTAAGCAGATACCACCTAACACTGTAGTACACATTCTCAACCCCAACATTTCAAGCGGCAGAAAAGTAATGTCAATTATAGATGAAAAATAAGGTCACATGCGATTAGGTCTAAACCAAGGCTGAATGAAGTGCAGGGGGCTCAGTTTGAGCAGTGTCATTTACTTTAGACGGGGCCCCACAGGTGCGGTAAGAGTTATCAGGTGCAACAACTAGGGAACGATGTTTAATTCGTACCGGATCAGCAAATTGGAGAACAGAAGATGAAAGTGTGTGAACGAACGACACAGTCACTACAAGTAGCAGGTCGACAAAGAGGTACCGCCACCAGTTCCATGAACAGCTCTCAAAATCTAGGCGAAGAGAGCCCGAGATAAAATTAATCGGTTAAGCAATAGACGTGGAGGACAACGCCCATAGTTTACTACAAGTTGGTGCTGTATTGGTTTTACAAACTGACAACACCTGCACCGCCTTAATCCTTTCGCCCCTTGATTTCAATCAAGCCAAAAGGTCAACGAGACACTTGTTTATGCAAGTGAGGGACTGGGCGTTGCTCACACACACGTGTGTGCTGATACACACATGGGATAAGGGTTGGCAGTCAGGTGATTCTGCGTGTCGCAATCACGTTGAACGATTGTCAACCCAAAAGTCAGTTTATCATAAAAAGAGAATGAGGAGAAGAGGCTTGACTTAACACACAGAAGGCATTCAGCATCGTAGGTTAAGACATGAAAACAACTTCTCAAGACTTTAAATGAACTTAGTAACATGTCGAATGGTGCAGTTGGTAGTGGACGCCAACAAGCAAGGTGGCTGAATACGATGACGATCGCGTAATAATCGGTAAAAAGGGGAAAAAACGCCTCACGGTATAGTGCTGAGGTCCACTTAATGAGAGTCGAGCAGCAAGGGATTAGACATAAGTAAGCGCTCAAACGAGCCTGTGAAAGAACAGGAGCTTACAGTTGCGCGTAGTAGATGAAAGCGCCCAGGCTCCATTGCACCTCAATGCCTGACAATTTTTCGATAGGGTGAAGGTTGGCATAGGTTAGAGGAAATCCAAAACCCGAGTGCAAAACGTTAATGATCCACGAAGCCTTGAAACACACGGCCCTAGGAGAGAGGCAATTTTGTAAAACTCTCCTCAAGGGAAACATAATTGGCCGAAAAGCAACCTGATCTGCAAGAATAACGTAATAAAAGTGCATTTACGTATCGTAATTTTGTTACGTATATCATGATCAAAGACCTGGACAAGTAGTGGGTGGATCCAATTTACGGTGTATCACCTTGGCTACTCCTAGATTGCGGTAATTTCGTATATATACTGCCATTTGCAGTTTCAAATGGTTTGGTTTGCGGCAGGGTAAAAATTAGTGCTAATTTGTTTCGAACACGATTTCCACATTGAGACAAAAACAGAACCTAAGCGCCCTAAAATACTAAAAAAAATTGCCATGCAATGAAAACATGATCAAGGAATGGTGACTCAACTTCAGTTTGGAAATAATGAGGGGACCAGATGACAAGTAGATGCAACGATTGATATTGTTATCACTAAACGATTTGATCATTTGAAAATGTCAATGAAAAAACCTTAACAAATGAATCTTTCAACAAAAACAAGCAGGTATTAGTGTTAGTACGAGCTGTTGTGCGGAAAAAAGCGATTTCGAAAAGTAGTGATGCAGCGTAGTTAGGACGGAAAGGGGAACCCAAAAATACTGGTTTACTAGTGCCCAAAGCTCGTGGTTGTACTTTGATGAAACTTCCTGTTTTGACAAGCACAAAAAGTTCAAAACTGCACGGTCATCAAACCATATCACCATGAGTCGAATGCTACCCCAATGACAAGATATATTAACAACAAATTTGCGATAAAATCAAGCATCCTTGAAACGTGTTTAAGATGAACGGCCCTTCAAGGGGATGGAAATACTTGGACAACAATTACAACGAGAAGGCCAGTGAAGATGTTATGGGTAATGAAGCGTTAGGCAGAAAATCATAAATTCAAGACTTTACTGCTTGTTCAAGATGGCCGAAGATTCAACATTTTCCGCTTGATAGCCAAGGAGAGATTGATACCAAGGGGTCTCGCACATAACCTACGAGGAAGGAATGTAAATTTGAAACAATCATGAACAAATTGCGCTTTCCAAGAAGAATAGTAATTCACGTGACGGGTGTAGCAACTTTCAGTTTGGATTGCATTACTTTAAGAGGGAGCAATTGAAAAATGATAAGATCTTGACTACTCAAGGTCGCGTTCCCTCCACTTCTTTATGAGACAGAAAACGCGTGGTAGCAGTGTTGCTGGACCGTAGGCTTAAAGGAACGCAGGGAAAAAAGGGGAGGCAAATGGAGAAAGAAAATGCTAAAATAGACAGTTATACCGAAATGCCAGTGAATCGTATTATTAAATTGTTCCGGATCATGACGCAGAAATTCCCTTCCACCTTCCCTTCCTAACTTCGTATAATATAATGCCACAAATGGATAGAATTTCTACGTGAATGTGCTCGGGGAAAGGTGTCAAAGAAAGCGAAATAGCAAGTTAAAGAGAAGTGTACACTTTTGTAGGAAGAAAAACTCACTTAATGTTAAAAACCAAGGTGGCACGACTCCTGGTAGCCAGCTGGTGGAATTAACAAAATTACCTATTGAAAAGCCAAACCAACTTTTGTTATGTAAAATTGAGTATAGCATAGGAACGATAGTAACTATTGCTGATTAACAGTTCATTAGCCCCAGTCCTTGGTCCAGATGACATGAGCTCATCCACAACGGGGGTAATCGGTTAAATCAAGTGAAATAAAGGCATGCAAGAGCAGGCTTACTGATCTAGCGACAGAACACCTTCCGTTCACCAAGTTTAGAAGTGATGACAAAGAGGAAATAAGAAATTGGCACTGTTAGATAATGTCAGAGAAAGTAAGGTAATTCAAAATTCGAGCGTTGGGTAGAATGCGCACCTCCTTTTAGCTTGTGATAAAGCTGAGCGCATATAGGGCACACATAATACGTGTTCTTATTACCAAAAACAGAAACCACTATGGTGTAAAACGTAAGATCAACAACAACATCATCAACCGATGGATCACATGTATCATATCACGAAAGCAAAGATTTTCTCTAGAAAAAAAGTAGAATGTAGAGAAATACTACACTCATTCGACGAAGGATGTGAGAGAGGATATAAGCTCGACTAGTACCACGAAAGGATGCGAAAAAGGAAGAAGGTGAATAGAACTTACAGAAGCAGAAGCATTGAACGTGTTGAAATCATAAGGCTTCGAGAAACCAGTGCGAAGGTCCGAGGAAGTATACCAGTACTCTGACATCGCGTAGAATTGAATACCCTCAAAGTTCACTGGAGGTTGGTGGATGCCGTTCATTGAGCATGGGTCCAGACGACAGGGCTTGTGCCTCTGCAGCAGAGCCTTCTGGTAGGCGATGCATAGTGAGAGATCTCCAGTGCCAAGGAAAGTGATTGTATGAGTGGAAGAATTTCCCGTGGCTAAAAGAGTCCTTGAAAGACTCAGGTCTCGTGGATTTAAGGTGTCTTCCAAGCCCGGTTGAAGGCAGGGGTCCTACACGATTGGGAGAAAGCAGGCATCAGCGAAGCCGGCGAGACTAGAAGATGCCCAAAGCAATGGGTGCCACTAACAAGAAAAATAAACTTCTCCTGTCCGCTTGTGGTGTAGTGCAAATAGATGGTGAGGTTAGCGAGCTTTGGTGGCCTGATGTAGCCAGTGGAAGGCCGATACCGCAATTTTAAAAGACTTGAGAACTGTGAGTATTCCATGGCGTTGTGTAGAAGAGAAGACTTGTATCTGTAAGGTAAGATACGGTACTGGAATAAAGTAACTAGCTTCTCATCATAGAGTCCACCGCTGGACCTTCAAAGTACTCAAAAATTACAGTCTACCAGTATACCAAAAGTAAGGAGAATAACGGAATAAAAATCAACTTAGGAGCTCCTATTAAGCATGAATTCTTCCCACAACAACGCTGTTATCGCAAAAGGAAAATTAAAAAGTAGTTACTATGGATGGAATTACAACGATCACGATGTCTAAAAGGCAGGCTTTCTCCTTTGCAATCAAAATTGCCGACATTTATAGGCAAGCAATCATGAACCACATCAATTTCTTCAAGCCATGACACAAAAAACGGAAATGATTAGACAATGAGCAAAATAAAGTAACGGTGGTAATGTCAATTAAAGGTAATTCAAAACAAAAGTTCAAATACGAAGTCCCAAGGAGATAAGTACAAGCATTAAATTGATTAGATTTGAAATAGGTTAAAGATATACGATGAAAATTCAAAGAAGAGAATTCTATCACCGTAGGGATAGTAGATTTCCGACACAACTTTAGCAGAGGGAGTAACCTTACCGACTTTTCGTGGCATGAGTACCGTAACCGAGGAAGGTCATAACGTAGACATTATAGGTATGTTTGCTACCAATGGTGAATGGGAGGATGAGGTCCTTGGGCGGATGCATCTCAGAAGGCACCTCATAGGCAATTTGCATACTCGCTCCGCCCATGTCCAGCATACCTGCAGTCTGATGGGAAGGGTCTAATAGCGCAAGAGGGCATCAAAATTAGGCCCTACGAAAGCCCAAAAGTATCGTATGTACTCACCAAAAAAAATATATAAAGTGAGAACTGCACGTACTTAAGCACAAACTGAACGACTAGAATTTCAAAATCAGCAACGAGAAAACAAAGCAAGATAAACGGCAAAATCGATGGGCAAGGCGATACATAACAGTGATGACCGTAAAATATAATCCAATGTACAGAAATAAAAATACAAGTTGCATACCAGCAAAGTTACCAAGTAGGTAGTTTACAGTAATCCACCCAAACAAGGCTTCGAAATAGCCGGAAACGGTTTGGGCCCAAGAATCATCAAACTTAAAATTAAATTCGCTTTTTACCGTCTTCCGAACCACGATCCAAATGTCATCTTGCTGCCTAAGCGCAAAGCTGACATCCAAGATTAAAGACCTACCCATCGGTTAAAAGACGCATTCCAGCAGTAGCAAGAATGTATACGGGAGTTATGGGATGGAATCTTTTCGGTATGTTTTGGGCAGCAAATGAAAGCAGGTTGGTAACATAGAGTTGAGCGGCAGGGGGATCAGAGGCGAAAGAGGAAAGTCCTGGCGTAACCTTTTTCGTTAGAGGTTTCTTTTGATCATCCAAACATAAGGTTATAGAAGTTAGGGTATCATCGCCGTCATTGTGAAATGGAATGCAGTAAACAAACAGACGGCTACCGCTGCTGCCAGCATCAACAACAATTGCATAACGATTCTTAGATGGTAATGTTGCATCTGGAAGCGCGCTGGAAGTAAGCGCGATCATATTATTGTAAGCATAAAAAAGGAAAAACATAGATATAGTGAAAATCATGGCTAGTCGACGTTTCCGTCGCAAGCACCCGTCCCACGAGTACTGAATAGTGCTAATGGAAAGCGCACAAATGGGCTTTAAGTAGCCTTTACGTCATTCAGCCCAATCCACGAGGCCAGCAACGTTATTATCGTTGTTCTCACGCCTATCCTGTAATTTTTTACCCTGTGAAATTCTGAAAGTAGAGCTACAAAGCTATCAGCTTTAACATAATTAATTTTGTAATTTTTGTAATTTTTTTTAATTTTGTAAGAGATTAAACTTCATGTAAAATTTGCAGAATTAAGACGTGAACGTAATTAGTCTTTGCTTCTGACAAACACGATGGCTTGGGCATTATTACAAGTCATTCATCATGACTCTTGACTGGGCTGTTGAGGCGACTTCAAGAAGAGGGCGCCACTGTTGCGTCCCGAGTCTTCCCACAGAGTAGAAGAAGGCAGTATTTGGAGCTGAAAGCATTTATTCCAATGTGGCAAAAGAACTAGGTCTTGGCTTAGCCTGAAGGCTAGCCCACGCGTAAATGAGCAAGATAGATCTTAAAAGCAACCTCCGAGCACAAAGCGGTCAAATGAACGAAGCTATAATACTGTAGGAACTACCTGCCTACTCTCTTGCCCTTGAACCTCGAACTTCAAGAGAGGCTTGGCTGCAGATAATTTATTTGGCATGTGTTACGGGAAGAATGGGGGTTGAGATGCAGATGGACCAAATAGGAGATATCAACTGGGGAGATACTCCTCACCGTCCTCGCTCGCTTGATTCGCGTTCCCAATTGGTTCCCGCCTCTCTCCTATCAAGGTCCACTTAAACAATCTAGTACATATTACAAATACTGCCAGCCTCTTTTTTTGAGCGACGTCCTCAACAGCCCTCTTGGCACATTTTCTGCACCAGTCATCACAACATGCTCGGTGCTGCAATAAAGCCTCCACAAACCGGTCGCACCGGTCAACGGCTACCATGAGACTGAGTGACAGTACTTGGTCTCATCAGCAGCCTCAACTAGATCTGGAGTTGCGTTCGGTCTGACGACCGAATTCGGGACCGCATACATCTGCTGACCATCAATATTTCCAGGACTAGACAGTGGAACTCTGGTCTAAAATAAATATGTTGTTGTTGTAGGGGAAATTCCGGCACGAAACTTTCCCAGATGGTTCACAACAGTGTCACCTCAGTTGTTGATATTTTGTCTGTGGAAGAAGACAACAAAGGGAAGCCGAACGGAGACTTCATTCCCAACCCTTTTGGTGTCAAGGCTTCAGATGTAAATGCGGATCCTCCACACCACAAGCACATGCAACAAACGGTACATACTATGATAGAAGTCGTCAAAAAATGTCAGGTTCGCTTTCCACTGCCACCAGCGTAGCGCCGTAAGTGGAAATGAATACATGTATTCCAGGGTGGGAAAAGGAACTAGGCTTGAGCTTGGCTCAAAGACTACTCATGTGTAAAAGGGCCAGACAAAGCTCAAAAGTAACCACCTGACATCAGATGTTCACATAAGCACAGTATTACAGCCACCATACCGCACTGAGTTACGCCTTAATCCACACTGTTCAAGCCTTGCAAGTTCTAAACGATAAACTCCATAAAACTCAAGTCTTGACATCGAGCTCTTCACTGCTATTCAACTCTCACAAGATCTTTAGACATAAATATGCCATTAAGAATGCTGAGACGAAATGTTTTTACAAAAACACAATTCTCTCCCAGGAAATTACAGCCTTTTGCGAGTGCGCAACCACCAAAACAACTGACAGCATACTAAAACCTGATGCCGATTCCGCCACACCATCTCTAGTCCTCACTGGAATTAAACCAGCAGAGTTACAACATCGGAGCTGCCACAGAAGGGACAGGAGACTGCCCAAACGCTGCACCAATGCCTTGCGGATGACAGTGACAATCTGAACATGCACTAACAAGCATCAGCCACTCCCATTACTCGTTGAGGGGCAATGATTACCACTCAAACCGGGTACTTTTCCGTGCTATTTCGAGACATGTGCTCATGCATTTTTGACGCCCTTCTTGCAAGGCCATTCGATGATATGGCCATTTCATTTCCAAGTTCGAAGTACAAAGTCGTAGGAACGGTATCAGACCGAAAGTGCATAGATAACAAAAAAGACGGGTGCGTATCCAAATAAAAAAGATCAAGATCAGAAGCCGGGTTAAATATTTGTGTTGCTAAGTACAAAGCCTTATCAACAGTAGCTGTAACCGCACGAAGGTAGTCAAGCACATGCAGTACAAACATAGAGGAAGTGGACGAGCATAACAGAGAATGCGAGGAGGGGCTGGCGTGCGTAGATGTGCTACTTTTATCTTCATAGGGGTGGTTGAGTGTATGGTGGCAGAATTCGCATCAACGCCTCCCTGTCTGCAGGTGAAATACGGTCCGGATAAACAATATCAAAGTCAACAATTATATCACCGCGACGATTAGGCTCCTTAGGATAGGGCAGACCTTGGCCGCTGACCCGGCGGGTAGTACCGGGTTTGATGACACAGTCTTCCACCTTCAATGGTACCCTCCTTCCATCAATGGTGGGCACTTGAATCTGACAGCCACACAGAGCGTCACGCAGACCGATCTTTGCAGTGTAGCGGACGTCAGCGCCGTCGCGTTTGAAATACTTATGCGTGCGATCTTTAACAGTGAAAATGATGTCGGCGGGGATGGTGTTGGGACGCTCATCACCCTCGCGGGGAAAGGTGATGCGTGTGCCCGCCTTCCAACCCTTGCGTACTTCGATGGTGAGTACCTTCTCCTCTGTACCACCGTCCATACGCCGCCGTGTGATGCGCATCTTCTTAGTGGTGCCATAAAGCACGTCCTCTAGAGATACGCTTAGGTCGTGATGAATAGGCGGATCCTGAGTTCGTCGACTGCGCGGCGCACCACCACCTCCTGCGTTCATAAATATCCCCTAAGAAAGCATATACAACCACGTACATGCGTCGATCAACACTAAAATTAAATTCCAGCCGTCGATCATCGTCACGCCTAAAAAAGGTTAATTCGATCCATGGATAGCAAAAAATATACAATCAAGTTATCGGTTCGGAGATTACGAGAGACACCAAACGTCATGAAGATGTACTAAGGCTGATCACATTGCCAGGGATACATACAATGATGAAAAAACGTAGTGAGTCTGAACAATAGGGGCCGAATAGAAAAGGCAACCTAAAGACATCAAATGATTAAACCGAGGTGTATTAGTGAACAATATATGTAGGAGGGAATGTGCGACACATAGGAAAAACTTAAAAGCGGTTAGTAAGGTGCACCAGGAAGCATGGCCACCTGTGCAGAAGATCAGAGCATCTCTATATGCGATAACAATTGGCGCAAGTAGACGATCAAGGTCGTCAGTAGCTCAGGCGACGGGAACTAAGGTTTCCTGATTGTGAAAATTAGAACAAAGCCACTCTAAAACAGCATTCATAAAGTAAAAGTATACCCAAGGACATGCAGTGCAGAGTATCAGTTAGAACGATGGGATCGTAAACGACGAGTAATATTAAAACGAAGGGAATAAATGATGAAGGGAGTTAATTATTGGTAGGAATGCTTGGGTTTTGTGACGCAATGAAGTATCACACAAAATGACTGAAAGGCCTACAAGAGAATGAAATTTTCCAGCAAATACAGGCCCCCACCCAAATTCCTTAACCACAGCATAATAAGAAAAGAGCTGCTTGGGATACGACATAAAATCCACCAAATCGGCATGCTCTCATGGGGAGCTATAATATCGACTTCATTTCCCACTATTTCAGACCAGAGGAACACGCATGTGAAACAACAGACCTTGGACAGTATATCATTCAAGCCATATGCGGTCACCTTATGTGAGGCGTAGGTCCCCATTACATGCATTAATGTTAAGATGCAAGTAAAGTATACTCTATTGAAAAGCCACTCGACTTACCCCTAGTCCACCTCGATTAAATATATCGCTATCAACATCCATGAATTCTGTCCCTCTATTGCCACTGCCAAAACTCATAAAGGTACTGAAAGGATCATCTGTGCCAAAGAATGCTCGGAAGGTCTCGCGAGGATCACTGGTAAAAGTGAAAGTAGCGCCTTCAGTACGGCCACTAGGACCGCCGATCCCACCTTTAAGACCCTCTTCGCCATACATGTCATAAATCTCCCTTTTTTTCGGATCACTCAGCACCTAAACAAGAGTACGAGTGAGGCAAATCAAGTACCTCGTAAGCTTCGGCAACCTGCTTGAATTTCTCCCCTGCATTGGGAGACTTATTCTTGTCAGGGTGGTATTTCAATGCCATTTTTCTGTAAGCCTTTTTAATATCATCTTCACTAGCTCCCTTCTCAAGGCCTAGCACTTTGTAATAATCAACACCCATAATAGTATGACCACAAACTACACGATAGTAGCAAGCAAACAAAGTTACTAGAACTTTCTTTCCGAGCCGCTTATTGGCTGATCTCCCAAAATTTGATTGGGTGAATTTCAGTGCAAGTAGTGTTCATTATAACGATGGTTCAACATGTTGAAGAAAAAAATTCAGTTTTTAATAAGGTCGCCTCCTAGTTACAGTTATTAATTCTATTTAATTCTATTAAAGTTTACCAATACTGCCAATCTTTATGAAAATACCATTAACAAAAGCAGGAATAATGCCTGATAAAGTAACCTAAATGACACGCTCTTAACTCCTAATAAGTATATTGTAATCTAAAAGTGTAATGCCTCCTATTTTACTCCCAGGTTCTCGACTCTCTGTCTTTATAGGAGAGCTGGTTGGGGAAGATTTTGTAACATCTTTTCATAAAGGAAAAGAGGATATTTGTGAGACTATAAGACAGCGCCACCTCGCAGATGTAAATTTGAGTTTTTTGCGAACTGGCTTTGTGGTTAAGTCAGTTAATCGCCTTAACCATTGATTAAATGGGCAAGAGTGTGATACCAACCCCCTAGCGGAATGATCAGACCAAATTTGCAATGTTCCTTACTCTGCCCCTAAAATCCTTCATCTTATCTATCGTAGGGGAAAGTTGCTTGGAAGTATTTATATGGTATGAGTTTACTAGCCTAGCATTCTAGTCGACTGCCTGCCTCTCCCCTACAAAGGACAATTCAACCATCTACTACCCACTACACAACCTCCTTCCTCGATCACCGTCTCAGGTTCTTGCCATTGTAGCTTCCCAGGCTTCCCATAGGGTGGAAGAAGGCATAAGTGAGGTTGAATACATGTTTTCCGAAGACGACATGGTAAATGGGGCCTGAGCTTGGCCCGAAGGCCAGCTCATGTGTGACAGCCTAACATCAGGTAGTCACATAAAGCATTATAGCCATAGGGGTCCTTTCTTCACCCTGCCAAAGCGTAAATCTCATTCCACAATCTACTGGAGGAATGCCGGTGTAAGGACGAAACTTGTTAAGGTGAACTGTTATTGGCAGGGTACGAAGCCTTAGGTTCCGGATCAGATAGTTTGTTGACGACATCGCCTCAACTATGCGATAGCGGAACCCACTTTGGCGTGGAAAAAGATTTCAATGCGTTCCTGTTAAGGCAAATTGTCTTGCATGCTTGGACCAAGTCTCTTTCTCCGTAAACATTGACTTCGGCCTGACAGTTGTAGAAGCTGGTCTGCCCAACATGTGCCTTCTGCAGCTGTTTTCATGCCGCATTAAACAATTTCCATAGGCCTTCTTTTAATCTCAAGACATGTTCGGAAGCATTATTTACCAACACGTCCTTAATGAGAAGGGCGATGTCGAGGGGATCCCTCATTTCACGACTTGCAGACGTCCTGAAAACCGAAACACCAGTCGAGACATGAGCTGTCACTCGGTACGTGGGAAGAGCGTTTCTTAGTTGTAGATCCCAGTCTTTAGATTATCCACCTTTGATGGAAACATTCAAGAGTTCGAAAGTGTGCGGTATGTTCTTTTCACTAGCTCAATCCTCTGAGGGTGTCGAGGCGTTGTGCGCGTATGGCTTCCTACAGTTCTGTAGAAAGCCAACTCTCAAAATTTGGCCTTGATCGCCGTAGACCAATTGAGGTTCACTGTGTTGGGAAATCAATTGCTTAAAGAACGCCGTTACTACCGTCTCAGCATGCTGCGCCTTTGGGGGTTTTGTTTTAGCTACCTTAGTCAAATTGTCGACCATGGCCCCAGTTAACGACTTATTTTCTTGGTCGTTGAAAATGTACCAGTAGTGTCAATGTATACTCGTACTCCTGGGAATCTGGAAGGCGCCTTAAGCCGATGCACGCAGCATAAATTCGACCAAAATCGGAGATATTAGGGGTCGGCAGAGGCCACCAATATCGCCCTTTTGCGACCTCAGCCATCTTCTTTTCACCCACATAGTCAAGTTGTTCATATAATCCCAAAAGTACTGGCTTAGCCAGCACGCTGAGAACTACAAGGCGGTTCACACTCATTGCGTTTGCCTTTGGCTGCCTTGCTCGTTGTGCTCATCTACTAGGCTGTAAACTTGGCGGAGGCTATCCGTACTTACTTGAATACCGAGGCTGTATTAAATCGGTGTTCTGCGTGTTTCGTGATTGATGGATGGTAGGTATGCATAACAGCAACACGCCGACTGTGACACTATCTGCGTCAATTGAGGGTGGTCTGCATGCGAGGGTATCTACACTACCACAAGAATTTCTCTTCCTATACTGATTTACAAAGCCATATTGCTGTATTGCGGCGGAACGGTTGACATACTTCATTGTCTTCAGCCCCGTTAAAGCCTGGTGATCTGTACGTGCTATAAATGGTTTACCTTCAGGGAGTGTTTCAAAACCCTCAGTGCCTCATCGGTTTAATCGACAACTGGCGTAGACTATGACATGATCTCCACCATAGCTGCGTTTTGGAAAAAGTACGTCGTTTGCATCCACATCCAGCAGAAAACGTGAGGCATTGGCCTCCACGTCAGGTAGACCATGTACCAGTGCCGCATAGAGGGTACGGTTCAGCTGCTTAAGTGCCTCCGCATGCTCGGTCTAGTCACAGAGCTCACTTTCTGACTTGTTTCTACTTAACTTGTGCAGCGGGCAGGCGATGTTGACGAAATCGTTGCCGGTTCACCGGCAACAGTATTCCACAGTTCTGTTTGATCAATGGACGTCGGTCGCTTCCTCACCTGCTTTGTTCGGTCCTCCGTGACTGCCATCACATCGACTGAGGCTGTGACTCAGCTCCGGAGCAAGTAGGATATCGGTGTATTCAAAGTCTATCCGGCTTCTTGACGACTTTTAACATCAGCCAAATGTTGGAGTTATGCTGCTGACGTTCGGTGGTCACTTTAGGATTCATCTGACCCTTGTACTCGTGGGCTGGCCTTCGAACCATGCTTAGGCCCATTTGCTCTGTTTTCTTCGGGATACATGTATGGGAAGTCTCGGAACACTATACTAGATATCTCTACTAAAGGCAATGATGTCATTATGTTGATGATACAATGCGAAGTTTGCATAAGGCTTGGAAATATCCAGACGCCATTGTCTGGTATAACAAATGTCGTTTTCTCCTGGCCCTTTTCTTCCACTGTCACTTTCCAGTAACCGAATTTCAAAATCAGCGTAGATAACCACTTTGCTCCTTGCAGAGGATTCAATAAGCCCTTGATGAGATAAGGAGCACGTGTTCTTTTGTGATACTTCATTGTGCCGCCTATATTCGATGCGTAGACGAAGGCTGCCATCGGTTTTCGTTAGTAGCGCAGGCGAGCCCCAGAGCGACTTGAATGGCCTTATGACATCGTCCTTAAGCCTCGCATCGATCAGACGATGAACCCCCTCCAAAAGAAATGAGATGCGTTTGGGTAGTTGCCAAATTGTCTTGGCCCTGCACTTATGGACCGTGACTTTGATGACGTTCATCCGCCTTAGTTTAGCCCCTCTCAAGAAAACATGTCGGAATATTTGCTAAGCCAAGAACACCTTTTTCTCCTCTCCCTATTCGTCCTGTGGCAGAAGTCTTAGACTGATCCCAGTACCAGTCACAGTGGCAGTAAGGGAATTGCAGATGTCTTTTGCATCCTCTAGCATGAAGAGCTGAGACCCCTTTCTTATCTCATTGTTGAGTCTCAATCATGCCTTTTGCAAAATCCATGAACGCTTTAATCTGACATAAGAAATCGGCACATGATATCCCACCCTAAGCAAGGTACGAGCACAACATAAAACTTACTACCCAGTTATCCTATCCATCTGAGAGACTCATGCGTGCTCCTCCTTCTATCAAGGCCTACTTTCCCTCTCCAGAACGTAGCATTGTCGCCGGAGGAGAGGCCTGTATCTTGAAACAAATAATGGGGAAGGCCAGTGAGCTTAGAAGAAAACTTCATCGACGACATTCTCTTTTCTCTGACATTTGCATAAACATATGGGCACCGTAGGGAAGTAAGCATGAGAAGGAAAAAAGGGCCTTGCTTGATTTTGGGGATTCTTTGTGGGGAAGAGGCATTGCCGAGAAGAGTTATACTACTTGTCAGTCGTTCGAAGAGACTAGCAACAGGAAAATTTGATCTCGAAATTGTAGTTCGTGCTCTATTGCGACATCCATATTGATATGCCGACTTATTCGGCACATACTCACCAAAACATGTTGCCTTGCCAAAGTGAGTGGGTAAATGCCCCATTCGAACTACTTGGCTAACCATGGAGCGATTCTATCTTCTGGCATGTACTGATAGGAGATGGAGGCGCTTCGAAAACTCCTCGTTATCTTTCTCGGATTTTGAAAATACTGGCAAGGTCATGGGTTAAGAAGTATCAATTTTTGGACAACTCGCAGCAGTGACGATTACACCGACGCCTATCATATCGCGGATCAAATCATAAGGAGGGCGAGGAGAAGACTGAAAACTCTTTATGTCTGTTTGTAGAGACAACGTCCGTATCACTTTCGAAAAAAATGTTCACCAACGCTGCAACCAGTCCGATTTCGCAGTCCCTGCAGTTAGGAAACTTTCTCTCTGGTTTCACAAGAATGATTTGCTTTGTGCGAGTTTACGCGATACACTAAGAGGACACAAGTTAAACAAAAAGGAGGATTAGAACAAAGAACTGCCAATAACGATGTGATGGCAGTCACGGATGAGTGTACAAAGTAGGTGAGGAAGCGACCGACGTCCATTGATCAAACAGAACTGTGGAATACTGTTGCCGGTGAACCGGCAACGATTTCGTCAACATCGCCTGCCCGCTGCACAAGTTAAGTAGAAACAAGTCAGAAAGTGAGCTCTGTGACTAGACCGAGCATGCGGAGGCACTTAAGCAGCTGAACCGTACCCTCTATGCGGCACTGGTACATGGTCTACCTGACGTGGAGGCCAATGCCTCACGTTTTCTGCTGGATGTGGATGCAAACGACGTACTTTTTCCAAAACGCAGCTATGGTGGAGATCATGTCATAGTCTACGCCAGTTGTCGATTAAACCGATGAGGCACTGAGGGTTTTGAAACACTCCCTGAAGGTAAACCATTTATAGCACGTACAGATCACCAGGCTTTAACGGGGCTTAAGACAGTAATACTTTGTGTACATGATCTGATATCTGGCGTTTGTTTTGATATTTGTTTTGCCTTCTGTTATAAGTCTATGACCACTACAAGGGCGATGCAGAAAAACTGACAGCTTACTTGTTTGGAGGTAGAAGTATGGCTGCATTAATGCACTAAAGGAACGGAAGCTCTCGTTGAACTCTAGTACCCTGTGTAAAGCATAAGGCGTGTTTAAAAATGTCCTTTAAAGACAGACAGCTGTTTTACAAAGACACAGCGCTGATGGAGTGAAGAGACAATTCCTAAGGGTCGAAACATGTGTTCCCCTACTATTATTCTATTTCCCGTTTAACTAGTGCTCTCTCGATGTATCCAATAATACTTCACCAAAAAAATCAGCAGTTGGAATTAGAGAGCAGAGATGAAATGTTCATCAGTTCCTACACAAATGTTAGAGTATGGTTCTTATTTTCGACAACTTTTGTTTTCCAAATCTATCCTGCGTAGAGACGAAATTTAAATTCTTAGGCTTGTTGTTTTCCCTGCTTTGATAACGCATATTCTGCATTTATCGAGGGTGGTTGTTCAAAGCCGTTGATGGAGTGCAGGTTTTTGAAAATTGTAGTCCTAGGCGTTCTCATCATTGTTCTCTAGTTGTTTGAATTAGCTACCGAGACCTTTTCGTTGGTGAACTTGTGGATGCGTCCGCCATGTCTTCATTGTCGTACTCTCAACTTATGGTATGTGATTCTTCCGTTGGTGAAGTGTGTATTCACGGTTCAAATTTACTAGGGACTCTTATCATAGTTATACAGTCGTTTTGCATGATGTGGGGGTGACCATGAATAATGATGAATGTTTCGAATGATTTTTTTTTGTTGTTTTAGTCCAGCAAGCGGAAGGTAACTTTCTGTGGTTTGCTTGCATTTTTTATGATTCGCTTTTGGTTCCTTGCTTATTGCGCATGTCAGCTTATGGGTGTCTTGCATGTATGTGTAGCAAGACTTGATACTCAATTTTATTGGTGGCTGATTTTTAGCGCGTTCCGGATGCAGAAGCTGTAACCTCTAATGGTGAAGGGCATACTGCCGCAATGGAAATAGAACTTAATGAACACAAGAAGGTATGACTTTATATTGCTGTGAGGTTGCTGTTGAAGTCAAGAATGGATCAGGTAGACACCCCTCCTTCAAATGTTGTCCACATTCGAAGTCTTCCTGCAGATGCTACCGAACAAGACGTTACACTACTGGCGATTCCCTTCGGCTTTTTGAAGAATATGGTGTTGTCAAAGCGAAGTAGTCAGGCTCTTATCGAAATGGAACTTCTTGAGAGTGCCATGGATATGGTGGAATACTATCAAGAGTTCCCAGCCATACTGCACGGTCGTCAGCTCGTTCTACAATTTTCAAAACATCCACATTTGGAGTTAAAGGCAGAAAATGCCATGGTGAACCAAGCTATTCAAAGGGCGAATTCGGTTGTACAGCAGGATCTTTCTGGAGCTAATCAAGGGAATCCGAATACAGTTCTTCGAATCATCATTGAGGACATTATGGACCAGCAAATCAATCATATTATCATTTATAAAGTAAGGTCGCTTCTTCTACTCATTGGTGCTAGATCTTCCATAGGTTTGGGAAGATCCTCCGTGTTATTATTTTTCTAAAGAACGACCATTATCAAGGTTTTATCGAGTTCGAAAATCACTTGCAAGCTTTTGTGGCCATGTTGGTAAATCAGTTATGTGGCTCCATTTTGCCCACTTTAATTACTTGGTTCTAACAAAATATTTGCTTTAGCATTTAAATCGTCAAAATATCTATACTGGATGCTGCCACCTCTCGGTAGAGTTTTCTAAAAATCGTGGTCCTCTTGAAATCCGTCAGGAGAGTCAGAAGTGTCGTGATTACGTTCTTAACCCGTTAACAGAAGAAGAATTGATGAGTCTCCGTAGGCTTCCATCAGCTGGAATGTCCAACAACATGTCCCATAGCGGTGGGCACGGCCAAGGCGGTCATGCCTTCGGCCCGAATTCTGCTGTTGCTGCTGCAATCTCGCAATTTGCTGGTACGGCGGGTGGTCCGACCATGCTGCATCCGCACCAACAGACGCCTACTGCTATGCCACCCGCCTGGGTAGCTGCAGCGGCCAACAACAACGCCTGTCGAATGACAGAATTCACTACCCAACTTATGGCACTTGCCCAACAAGCCGGCTTGCAACTTACTCCTGCCGCTGCAGCTGCCACCGCTAGCTTTATGTCGCTTTCGGCGCAGGTGAATTACCATCTGCCAAGGTTTCTATGCTCTTATGGCGTCGTACCAGTTACTGTTTTCGATTGACAGAGCGGTGCAGCATTTCCTAACACAGCGAACGGAGCAACTATTAATCCTACCATGGCATCCCTTCTGGCCTTCTCGGCTGCGGCTAATAATGCGGCTGCCAACCAGGGTCAGTCTGGCAGTGGCCGTGCTGGAGGCGGAAGCAGTCAGTTTTCAGGTGCAGGGTCGGTTTCACAGTCTGTTACTGCTCTGCAAAAACTCACTGCAGCACAAGCAGCGGCAGCTGCTGCTCAGACATCCTCCTTGGCGATCCGTTTGCCTCTCAACAATAATGGGAGTACCGTTCTCATCGTCTCTAACCTCAACGAGGAGGTACGTCTATGCGTCACTAATAGAGATAGATTTGGTGTATCCCAGTCTCTGGAAACCATTTCACAGAGCTATCTGCGTTTCCTTCTCATCTAATAATCTGGATGTTCGATTCCTCGACCAGTCTTGAATTGTTCAAAGGCATTTTATTGTGATTTGCGAGGCGTCTGTCCCTTTTCTGTTGGCTCTTAGTACTCTTTTCACGCGCAACTGAATTTTTTGGTAAAGATATTTACGCTTGATTTTACACTATTTCTACTTAAATTTGTCGATACACAAACCGTTAACAACTCTTATTCGTTTTCTTGCTTTCGCTCCAATGTTCTTTCAGCTTACCCTGGTTTTTCATTCTTTTCTATTTCTCCCTCTCTCTCACTTGAATCATCAACTGCGTCGTCTTCGTCGCGTGTCTGCTCTAAAATCGTGGTGGATCATATGTGGATCTTGTCTGTGATACTTCTCTTGCCCAATTTTCCTATACTTGTCACTTATCCTCTACCACATCTTATCCATTTATCAATTTTAATTCAGCGAGTGTATCCGGACGCCTTATTTACCTTATTTGGTAAGCTCCTTTTTGCTTGCTTCGTTTACACAAGTTCCATATCGCCTTTTTCTTTATTCGTCCGGATTTATTCCTTGTCATCATTTAAAATAATACATAAAGGAACCAGGTATTGGTCATACACACATACTACTGCCTTATTTTCCTTTCGCTATCTGACGACAGCTACCAACTTCGGATTCCGTCTTTGGCCGTTATCTTACTATCGATTTCACATTCATCCTTTAGCCATCATAGCAAAACTTCTTTTGTAAATACATCAAATCCTTTCATCTTATCGTAATTGAATAATGTCATTTTGTGCTTCGAGTTGGAAGCACCTTTCCGAAAAAAAATGCTTGATGGCCCATTTACCTTGGCTACACGTGTTTGCTTAGGCGTTTACGGAGATGTGGTGCGCGTGAAGATCATGTTTAACAAAAAGGATACCGCTCTCATTCAGTTCAGTGATTCCCAGCAGGCCATACTGGGTAAGTGCATGTAGAACCGCGTGCTTAGTGAATGTCGCGATAAGGATTTATCCTAGCAATTGTTGCTGTTCATTGTAGTGGAACTAGGTGCTTAGTGCTTTAAGGTTTGGTGTTTTGTAGGTATTAAGGATGCATTTACGATCAATTTTTTAGTCTGTAAATTTGACTTGTTTTTCTCTTGACGACACCCCTTCAGCTATGCAGTATTTAAACCAAAAGGTGCTTTGGGGTCAGCCAATGAAGATAGCTATCTCGCGTCACAACTATGTGCAACTGCCAAAGGAAGATAAGGACAATCACCTGACCAAGGACTACTCCAACAATCTACTTCATCGGTTCAGAAAGCCTAATTCGAAAAATTACCAAAACATTTATCCTCCAAGTCATGTTCTTCATCTAAGTAACATCCCCCCAAGTGTTACAGAGGATGACGTCCGGTCGCTTTTCCACTCGAAGGGCTTTGATGTGGTGGGGTTCCGTTTTATGCAGTAAGTTAACTACTCATCGACATCAACGAAGATGTGATCATTGTTATAGTCCAGCTTTCTTATGCATTGGGTTCCTGGGCCCTGCGAATCAGCAGCATTTCATTTTCAGCAGCCAGATAATCTAGAACTTTAATACATATTGGTCAATCTGGCAATCATGGGGATATGGACGATTTGTTTATTCTTTCTTCCGTCCATGTAAATTATGAAGTCGTCTTCTCGACATTATTTTTCCTAGATTTTATCAGAAACATCCTGATCAAGCGTAAGTGAATTGCCGTGGTCTTTTTGTAATCGCACATACGCTTACCTTTTCTCGCAATCCAGTTATGAATTAGTCCTCTTGACGGACTGCGAACCAGCTTGCTTGTTGTCTACAAATTTGGAGCGAGAATCGGTACTCCTCCCCCACAATTGTCTTACGATGCCTTTTTGGACGACTTTGATCTCAATTTTAGGAAGGACAATAAGATGGCTCTCGTACAGTTAGACAGCGTTGAAAGTGCGATGGAAGCCCTCATAGTAAGTCACGTTGGTATCTGAAGTGACAATTTAGAACTCCCATACAACCGTCCTATCCTTTTTTGTAATCTGACAAGAAGATACTTGCGATACGCTCATTTAGAATGTACCGTAGAATTCTGCTTCCACTTTCCTTTCCCTAGGCCCTTCACAACACCCAGCTCAGTGAGAATTCGCATCTGCGCATCAGTTTCAGCAAGTCCGCGATCTAGCGTTGATCTGATCTCACATAACCCTCCTCGTTCCGTCTGCGTTTGCTTACTCTCATGGGAGATGGGACTAACTACTAATCCCTGCTGACGGAGAGTATAAAAACTCGCCTCTTTCCCCGCGCAGTCGGCCACTTTGGAGCCTTTTGCGCATCTTCCTCTTTTTTTCTCGTGTTTTGGAATCCCGCGATTTCGCAATAAAATACAATTACAAAATTGTTTGATTTACTCCCCTCTCCCCCATTCTCCTTGATCGTCATGGGGACCTGGTAGGCGCATTGATTCCATTTCCGCCTCGGGTATGGCGAGAAGTACATATGAGATGGTCTTGCAAAAAGTCAAGGTGAGGTTGAATCAATTATTATCTCTGTGTAGAGAAAGTTTGCAAGTGAGGTGTTGACAAGCGCAGGCTTTGATCATGTGTGGCTTCCCAGCCTTGTCTACATTTGCGAAGGGTGAGAGATTCGTTTTCTGCTTTAGCATATCAGGTTTGTTGTTATAATCCTTGTGGCATATTTTGGACCGACGTGGCTTGCAGCGCCCAAATCGTGAGGCGCAAAGCCGGTCTAGGAGGATGAATTTTTGTACTGTCTCATTTACCAAGTTTGTTGACAGTTCACGAGGATGCTTGGGTTAGGGCGCCATCTATGACACCGAAAACTTGGGAACGAAAATTAATGTAACGGATTATCGTGCCTTTTGGGTGGTGCTTATGCCGGCACAAATATTAAGGGAATGGTCACTTCAAAAGGAACATGGTAATGGTGGTAACAATGTCTCACTGATTCTACATCTCACACCAGCGAGAACAGGGTAAACGCATGTTAATTTGCGAGCAGAAAAACAGAACAGTTGCATGATTCGCTGTTTCAAAAGTCAACCTGAGGAGTAGTACACGAAATGAGTTTTTTGTTGAATCGTCTGTTTAAAAACTTGTCAGCTAATCGAGAACTTTTCGCTTGAGGTTGGAATGAAGCGCCTCGTAGATTTTTTCGCCTTTCACGGTGCCTATGCCAGGGCAGCTCTCCAGCATCTTCCTGTCCGCCTTTATGATATTTGAAACAGTCTATAATAAAGGACAAATGATTGACCATAATACAACGCTCCCTGGGCCATCATCATCTTCTTAGGAGGTTGGAAAAGAGGCGATCCATCGGCGCGCAAAATGGTAAGTTTAAGACAAACCAAGCAGTACAGTGGGGAGTATTTCAAAGCACATAGAGGCGCTGGACTACTTTCCACGTACATAAGAGCTATTCTGATTTGCGCTTCGGGAAATAAAAAAATAACTGCTTGGAGGAAATATTCATACATTACTGCCTGAAACAAAGAGACTCCCAAAACCCCGCGATGGAAAATCTGCAAAAAAGCGTCAGATGCACAAGATTATCCCCGCCTCTGGGGTATTTTGCGAGTTGGTGCATAATTCACAAATCTATACAACTGCAAACAGTAACTTTGCCTCTGAATTAGGAAACTGTGTAATGTGGAACTACCAAATTGTCTATAACCACCTGGTTAATGAATACGCTCAAAATTCGCTATTCATTTTGAAGAAAGGCAAATCAAGGTGGGCAAGAGTGACCACATCCAAACCAAGATGCGCAAAAGTTGACGAAAAAAACCCAACTGACCGTTTTTTTAGCAGTGTTGAACCATTATAACGAAATGACGGGGTGGAAAAATTGTGTGAGCCCCACCCACACTCATTTGCAGTTACAGCATTAGAAATGAGCCGCTTTTACTATATAATAAATTTAATCCAACGAAGCTGGTTAACTTTTGGCAGGTGCCTGCAGCAAACCACAGTCCAGAAGTAAATACTCGCCATAATGCCTAATGCTGCGATAGCTTTTAATATTTCCTTTTGATTCTGCTTCAAAAGACCTAATTGGTCTGTCTGTTATAAATGGTTGTAGGAAATGACAAGCTGGTGCACTTCAACAACCTGCTCAAGTAACCAACTGCCTTGCGAACAAGACTGTTTAGACTTCGACATCTGGACCGGCTCGATTGTCGCTTTCACACAACGCCCTTGTCTCGACCGTGCAAGTGGCGGCCTACTGGTTTCGACCGTCAAAAGTAAGTCTGTAAAGTGTTACCTCTCAATCATGACGGCGTACGGTAACAATAACAACCCGTATATGCACATGCACAACCGCAACGCTGTGCTCGCATGTTTCTACTTAAAGAAGCAAACAAATCACAAAGCTGAAATTTAGGCAAGACCTTAACGGTAGCACCCAACATGGCCCCACGAAAGCGATAACAGTTAGGGTCAAATAAAATTTGCACAATAAGAACAAAAAAACCAAACTGTGAGTTCACTGAATGTAGATGGGCAGAATCAATGCGGGCCAAGCGGCAACAAACAGCAGGAGGGGACGTGAATGGCATGCCGATGCTAGGATTGCAGAAAAATAAAGTAGCATGCGAACTGACCCTACCACCAGAAGAATCAACAGTTTACATGAAACTGCGGCACTTTTTATTGCTGTAAAATGGAGCACTGAATGGCGTCCGAAGCCCACTTCGTCGACCTCGTTTATACAGCAGCACATACACAATTAAAAGGTGTTCTGAGGCGGAATTTGCATATAAGGCGGTTACATTTACCGGGATTGAATTTATCCGTCAGCGATAATGAGTACTAAAGGGAAAATAGGAAATGCCAAAAGCTCGGCAAATTCCGACTTAAGGGATTCAGAACTGCTTACGGATTGGCACGGCTTATTGTCTACAAAATATGTCGATGGTGAAAGCCTCAATGCTAGCTCAGTGTTGTCAACCTTTCCATTGTACTTCAACATCACCAACTCACCAAATCTTTTAGCGTGATCAAATGACGTCAATTGCTTCGTTGACAAGGCAGCGCAATGTGAGTAAGAGGAGAAAGTGGCATAATTACATGAACGTATTTAACCTTACGCCTCCATGTGCATGGCCTGTAAGTAGTGCTGGTGCTAATAAAAACCCAAGCAGGGAATGCTCTCCAAAATCACGAACAGGATCCGAAGAAGTGACACTAAATGCTAAATTTACAGTTCTGGACGCATCCGTATACATTACGAATTAATTGTTATAAAGCGGGACTTATTCAGGAGAGGAATAATAAGCACGCCTTGGTAACAATATCCGCGGATTGGGAGCGATCAAGCCTCGTCTGACAGACAAGGGCTTAAGCTAGGGCACCGTTACTACCACTCATGGAAAGCCGCTCCTCAATGAACCTGTAAGTAAAGAGGCTTTTGAACATACAAACGTCACTTCATAGACGTTCACTCTACAATTTCGATTCACTGTTAAGAGGGTGATGCTGAACACGCTAATCCACTAAACAAGGAAGTTCTTCTTTCGACATGCAGTTGGCTAGAGTTAGACATGAGATTTGAAGCCGCCCTGAGAAACTGCTATGCAGATTGCAATGCAAAAGTTCCCTTCGACGCATTGCTACCTCAAGGTTAGGTATGTATGGCTGTAAATATGCCTTCCAAACTTTCAGTTCCGAGCCCGATCCCAATTCAATCGAACAACTAATGAATATCTAATCGTGGATATGGCCTCAGAAGGTGCAATCCGTTGCAAGAAGATATCTGCCTGGCCATTTACTTTGAAGGAATTCGCCGACACGTCAGGGTAATACAGAGTCACTCCAGGCACATATTGCATACGAAAATCACTACAAAGCTGAATGGAGAATATCAAGAAGACTGCAAGTAAAGCGCGTTGGGACTTTGTGTAGGAAAAGCCTGTCGTGGTCGGGCTTAAAATAACGCATCCTTTACAAAGGTCCGCATTCCCAGCCCTAGACTCTCGGTGCGTGCAAAAGTCCCTTGGAGGAAGGAGAAAGGGAAGACGTACCCCAAAACGGGAGAGGAGAGCAGCAGCGTCCGACCGCGAGACGACACGGAGGGTGGTGAAAAAGTCAGTCGCAAGAGTCAACTGATCTTTCTGCACCGTTGCTATCGCCCCTTCTGGCTGCAGCTCCTCTGGTGGCTTGTTCACCAGCGCCTTAAAGCACTCTACGTAGCGCGCTGCTTCCAGAAAGCTGCACGAGAAAAATGCAGCGTGAAAAAAGGACTTGAATATCCGTTTCTTTCTTCCTCGTTAAAACTATGAAAAGTATGTATTATCAATGGGTATAGTAAAGTAGAAGTTGTGAAGTAACGACATTGACTACTATTTTGACTTTCCAAGCCTTCTCAGTCCTCTGCGATCAGATGGCCACGTTGACGCCAATCAACCCATCCTTCCCCAACTACAATAAAAGTCGCCAGATCCTTCTCCAAGCTCGCAAAAATCCCACTTCTAAAGCTGTAGACTACTTGACGACTTCAGAAGTTAATAGTGAGAACCACACAGACTAAGTCGCAAGATCAGCAAAGATGCCGAAAACTCATGATCTCATTCAACACGTGGATTGCAAAGGAAATGTATCAAACTTGGAGCATTTTATGTACGACAGGCTGATAGTCCCCCTCCAGCGTGGAAATAAGCAGGATTGATGAGGTGGGAAGGTCAGTCCCACAAAAAGCCTTATTTTGTTTGTTTCCATTCTAGCGAAGCCATGAGTATAAAAATAAAAGGTGATATGAGGAAGGTGTTAGTCGCGTCGGAATTTCGAATTCCATGTCCCCGATTTATCTTCACCTCCGACAGCATTCTCATGAATATATCACACTTTATAAAAAGGGAAATTTTGCAACTTAAAACTAGATGAACAAAAGGTTCGAGGTACCTCCAAGCAAGCAATACTGTGACGTTCTGTGTGAGACCAAATTTGTTCAGCTCCTTCAAAGGGTGATGAGCGTCGTCCTATTGAAAAGTAGAGAAATAAAAAGCAGTCTTTGTTAAAGCTTTGCTAAACAAAAACTTGATTTCAAAAAAAAGTAGCAATGACTACAAGAGAGCTAAAGTACTGATCCGAGGAGCTGTTGTGTGTGTCTGAGGTGCAGAAACAAAAACCAAATTGAGCCCTTTTGTTACTGATAGTGGGATTGCCTAAGCCAAGATAACACGACAACACTTGTAGCGTGCAGAATGGTTTGCAAAGATCGATTAAGACCTTCAACTTTCTGTATGTACTGAGTGCAAAAAATTACACAGAGTTTATTACTTAGACCCACGTAACCTGCTGTGCCTACTGAGGGGCTCAAGAGAAAGAAACGAGAACCATTTGATAAACTATCCAAATTTACCAGGCAACCAGTGCGGAGCTACGCTAAACCGACTTGACAGCTATCTTTGCACAAATGCGGAGGACATACCACATCGACCAGAGCAATGAGCACGATGAGTTGAAAGGTGGATTTGAGTTTTTGAAGCCTATTGAAGATGTACTCCGGATTCAAGTTGTGATATCGCAGACTGTAAATTCAGTAAATCAAGAGGATCGCAATACCACTGAAGTAGAAACAGTAGTAATATTGATGAAAACACTGATACCTGAGAAAAAACCCGCACTGACTGGGACCAAAGACGTAGTCGGGCTCAATAGCTGCGTACTCCCAAGTAACGTGACGAATCAACTCGAGGAGAGGGTTCCCTCTCTAGAAACAACCATCAATTTTCAGGAAAAAGGAACGTATTCCTATTAAACATGTGTTCAGATGAACAACTGACCTGACATTGATTAACCAGTAATTTTTTGCTGTCCATCGGAACTCTATAATAAAAAAAAAAGCTTCAAGTATAGATAAGAAAATGAATACCCACGCTCGTAAAAATACCAGAAGTGCCAGAAACCTACCCAGTCTTTGTAGAAATTGACGGGGGCTCGTAAGCAATCCTTTGAGCTGTTGTGGTCGAGATGCTGGAGGCAGATGAGGAGGAAGGGTCATTTGTGGTTGTGGGAATGTGGCCAGAAGCCAAACGACCAAGCACACCACGCGGTTTCAGCCAGGCCGAAGGAACCTTTACTACACCAGTGGGGTTGGGTTCATTCCTCTTCGTCCCTTCTCTCACCTTTGACGCAGCGGCTTGTGTACTGACTATGTCTGGATCTAGAATGCCCTGACGGTAGGCTGAGAACATCTGCAGGCCAGTAGGAACGTTGGACTTTCCATCGCTGTCATTCTGAGTCAACAAAAGCCTTGTATTGCATCCACATTCGTAACTCCTAACTAACAAGGATGCAAACTCAAAACACATCAAGCCATTTGCATCATTTCAATATCATGCATTGAACGATAAAAAAGGTTGGTAAACAGGAGACAACGACTTACAAGAGAACCATAATCCAATTCAATGCGGCGTCCTCCTGCCTTCGAGTCACTCTCTTCTGAAGTCTTGGAAAGTAAAATGAGACAAATGACACTCATCAAAAGCAGCTGCATTTGCCATTTGCATTTGAAGGATAGGCACTGAGAAAAGTGCAACAAGAAGAGCGGAAATGCTATGAGGAGGGATCAACGGTAGATCCAACTACTCGCGTGCACGGATGAGAAAACGTATACAGCCCAACGTTCCATAAAAAATAGATCTAAGAGATAAAATCTCACTCTACACCAACGTGATATTACGATGAAGAGAATTATGGATTTGATTATCACAATTTTCAAAATGTGAGCAGTTCCAGGGAGAGACGCAAGGCGAACCTTTTCCAGTGCCAGTACTAGCTCAGAAATCCTAAAACGTGAGTTGTTGTGTTTGTACTTCCTCAGGCAAGTCTACTAGTCAACAAGATCAATGACAATTGGGTACTCTTAGTGCCTTAAAAGATGTGAATGCAACAATGGCTACTACACGGGTAAATTAACCCCACAAATGCCCTCTCAGGCGGTGAAATTAAATGGCGCTTAGTCTTTTAGGACTGCATAGAAGCGACTAAACAGTTAGCAAATGTGGTCAATACACTGCCGACGATAGGCGCCGGGAAAGCCTGCAAAACAATGAATCTTAATGCTTCCGTATTTTTCAAAATCCAAAGCCAGTTAAAGGCAACAGTCAATCGAGGAAACACAGATTACTTCAAGCAATATTTGTTTTTTTGACTTCAAAATACATAAAATAGGGCTGAAAAAAGGAAAAACGTAGAACACGGATGAAAGAAATGGGATGATTCCATTCAATTATTTCCTGTGAAGGGAGAAAGTGAGCAGATTTCCCCATTATCCAAGCCATTGCACGGTGCGGCACATATGTTTTCCCGATTTAAGTCAATCGGCTTCGGCTCCCACGAGCCCGGCTCTCTATAGACCTTCGAGTACTCCTCAAATAGTAGCAAGACGTGTGGATTCCCACCCAAATCCTCTATGATACGTCTACACCTAGGAAGAATGGGAGAGAGGAGCAAAAGTAAGACCAAATCTGTTCATGGTGTATAGAATGCATAGGATCAATGACTAACCCAGATAATTATGCATTTAACCAACGATTGTAAACAAAACGCTTTAAACACTCCTTATGCCAACAAAGCAAAGGACTCGCCCAGTTTGCTTTTGCCTACCTTCAAGTGCTTGGAAAGTGGAAGCAGTTTTAACGTTGGGCAACATGGAAGAGCTAAGAGCCAATAATATTCTGAGGGGATACGAAACGGCGAAAATAGGTGCGGCTGAGCGATCTTTTCCTCCGATAAAAATAAGGGATTACAAGACATAGCAATCGTTGTTGGATCATCTATTTTAATTCCGTACAAATGTAACAGTGCATAAAGCGTTCTCATACACATACTCAACCGGTTCTAGCCTTTGATAACAAAAGCATTAGCATTACCTATCAGCACTTCATTAGATAAACCTTAGTTGTCAATTAATAATTATGAAACGGTATTCAAGGGTAAAAGTCAACAACCTAAATGAGGCACGAACGCTTGAATAAAGCACAGCAAGCTTACAAAAAGAAGCAGTAATACAAAGGCAAAAATCACCTACATGGGAACCACCCAGTGACTTATACGGTAAGCTTACACAAAAGTTCCATAAAAGACTCAATCCATTGTATTTAAAATGGAAAATGAAAATCTCCAAGCATAAAAAGAGTGTCATTCAGACGATCAACTAACTCTAGCTCCAGTTGGATGAGAGTACGCTCCGTGTGGATGAGGGAACCGAGTTTGTGGAGGTGTTGAATGCAATGCTCCTTCACAGCACGATTTGAGGTGCGCTGACGAAGAATTGCTATTACCTGTTGATCATTGGGGCAGGTGTTGATCGCGTGCACCACCGGGAAGCTGAACTTACCCTCCGTTAAGTCGTCTGCAAAGTCCCTTTCCTTGTGATACTGGGTGGTATTAGTAGCTTCGTAAGTTTCTATTCGAATCATTACAATTGATGCATTAAAAACACGTTGGAAGGACACTGATCCCTTAGGTGACTTGAAAATTGCACACTAGATTTAAACCAAAAGCTAATGGATAAGTGACGATTTTACATGGAGTTCGTGTATCTAAATTAGAAGATACGCACCCTCCAGTTGCATTTGTGCATGACTGGAAGGGAAGGTTAACTGAAGCTAATGGCAACCAACTTACAGAGGTATCCACCAGATTGACAAAATCATCACGAATTTGAAACCACAGACCAAGAGCATCCAAAAGTGGTTTGTAATCCCTGAGAAACATTAATGATTTGAAGGGAAGAAGGAGGGTATCCAACTAATGAGGTAATTATCACAATAATGCTTACGTAGTGACAGTGGAGAAGAGTTTCATGAAGTTCACAGCCATACCGAAGAGACCACCAGTTTCTGTGCAAAGTGCTAAAGAAAACCGAAAAACCTACTTCGTACAACCATATCCTTGTACTCCTCCTCAGAAGGGCACTTAAGCGAACATCGCCAGTATATATCCAGACCTTGACCTCGGTGAAGGTTGACCATTTGTTCTGCGTAAAGAAGCGAACATTGTGCGTTTGGGATCAGGAACTGGGAATCGAGCCATAACGCGGTTGATATGAAATTGAATAGAGATTGTAACGAAAAACACTGCAACTTGTTTTAACAAGTGTGAACTAGCCAAAAGTACGAACGAGAGCGCAAAATAAACGCTGCATATTAGAGGTAAGTGGACACAATGGATACCTGCGAAAATTTTTGGAACATCCGGATGCTTTAGAGTAAGAGCCTTTTCTAACGCAATGAAGTACGCATAGTTGGCGGCATTTATTGACATTGGGATCCCAAAAAGCATGTGCGCAGCGGGCTTACCACGACGACGATCAGAACCGTCCTCTATGTCATCGATTCTAAAGAGAGTAAGCCTCACGACCGCAAAGTATTTTAAAGCTTTGAAAAAGTAAACACGAAATGAAAACAGTAAAAAATGAATAAGACAAATAAGAAAGTTTGTCCACTTTATTAAACCACTGAAGCTGACAATATAAGAATGAACAGTGAGAACTTTCGAAGTTTAAATTCATCGAAACAGGATTAAACAACAGAATATGCAAAATCATTGTCAAAGTTTCACACATCAAAAAAAACCATTTGACCCACTGCAGAAATGTATAAAAGCAAGTTTTGTCCGTCAGCCAACAGCTTTGGTAAGACAGCAATTATAAAAAGAGTGTATGATTTTTCAGAACCAGAACAAAACATTTGAAGCGAAATGTGGTGTTCATTATGAATACAAGCTCCAACTTGGGACAAAAAAATGAGAAGCCACTATGTTGACTGGAAGAATACATGCATAGCATCAACAGTGGAACACAACAGGTTAGTGCAAAGCACTATTTTGGGTAACAAAATGCATTAAAACATGGGCGCCATAAAACCATAAAGCTAAGTACCACAAAAACGTATTTAGCGATTTTCTAGAGTCCCATCTAATAAACAGAAAATCTATGAGTGAGATAAAGTTCATACAAGCAGACAGAAGTAGCAAGGTGCACCAACACCAGGTACTCCTAAAACTAGATTTAAACTCAATATAAGCTTCGCATCAGGACAGGCACAAAGAAGCAGCTTACACCAAACTCGCGTTATGGAGCATCTCAATTACTTCCTCGAGAATAGCTAGCTTTTGTTGATCAATATTCAGCCACCAATTAAACGCTTTCATTAACTTAGACCGTATCCCCTTGCCTGAATTTTGTATAAGATAGATAACCGGGGCAAGCATAATCTAAAACTATTCGAAAACAAACGTTACGTTATCGTTATCAAATCTTTGACTGTATTCCATGAGGGTGGACAGTGGGCAGCAAAGCTCGACACCAACCCGCTCAGACCCCCAACCCGTCACACAGGGACAAGAGAATTTGAAGAGGAGTCGCCCGCCGCTGAGCGTTCAAACAATTTGTTTCATTAAGACTTCTTTGTTGCTTGCTTTATGTACACATGCAAGAGGTCAAATTTTAACAATTTCATTAAACGAATTTCAAAATAATGCTATCCGATTTTTTATTGATGACAATTTTATCACAAATGGTGCTCACCTATATTCAACAAATTAAATAATGCGCCAAATAGTGAAGGTCTTAAAAATTGTGTTGCGAATTTTATACCGAAAAATCGTCGGCCTCCTCAGCATCAATACGAAGATCGTACTCATGCCTCCGTTACCCACTATTTTGAATGCCTTTGAGTCACCGAACGCCTGTCTGTTCACTGTCTCTCTACATTATCTTCCTGATCCGTGCATCCTTTCCGAGGTGTTCAGTAGTTTTGCGCAAGTCAATGCCTCAAAGGCCTATACTGTATGTCTTACCCTCCCTTTTATGCCCATAGGTCATATTTTTCAGCTAAACCAGATGAAAGGTATGGTTTCACCTTTCTTACGGTCTAGCTTAGATTGCAACATGCATCCCCCTCACGGTCTCCCAAGACGAAGAAACGACATATGCTTACGGAAAGTGATGACTCCTGTGATGATGCACAAGGTAGCCACTTTGGTATCTTTATTATTGTTTAGCAATCCCGAAAATGGCTAGCTCTTCCAAGTCAGAAGTCTGTAGTTCTGATTGTTATCAAGACAAACTGAAAAAAACCAGCAATCAGGAATCCACTAACAAAGCCATTTTCAGAGGTAATTCCTTTATGTTTTGTATTTTTCAGATAAAATCGTGCCGTGGAGTCAACACTCCCAGTCGGCTAAAGTCGAGGTTAGTTAGCATTTTTTTACCATTGTAATGCGCCTAAATAAATGTGCCTTTAAAACTGCCATAGCTTATAAGCTGTTAGGCACTGGTTGTTGTTTATTAGGGAGTTATTCTACTTTCAGAAACATTCACCACCCAAATTGGGATGCTCTCCTCCACCTAAGAAGTGTAGCGATAAGTTTGCAACAAAAACGGAATTCTCAGGTCATAAACGGACTAATCCAGCAGTTTCAAAGGAATCTTCAAAGTATGAGTTCTTGGCTCCGGATGCAATTAGGGCTGGTATGTAGTTATTTTGGTTGCCTCATGAAACACATTTAGATTTAAATGTTGGCAATGTATCGACGTGAGTTTTTTGTTAATATATTTGGTCCCCATAGAGAAGAATTTGATCCCACCAAGGAATCGTTTGATCCCGTGAAAGATGCCTGTTGGCGACTTAATGAACCGTACGTAAGCATTTCTTCTCACTGTGTCCCTCTCTCTCTAGCGTCCCTTATATTGCGTTTGCGAAGACGCTTTGGTGTATTGAAAGCATTTCGAGTCGTCTTAAGATAATTGAAATTTTGTCAAATTTTTTTCGATCTGTGGGTGTTCTCTCTCCCAAGGATTTGCCTGCATGCATTTACATGTCTATCAATCGGCTTGGCCCGTCTTATGAGGGCTTAGAGCTGGGCATTGGTGAAACTCTTCTCATCAAGGCACTCACTCTTACCACGGGTAACACAACCTGCATTTTATAAATCTCTTATAGGTGCTAGTAATGTTCGGATTAAATCCGAGTTCAATCGCCTTGGAGACCTTGGAGCTGTGGCTGCGGTACGGTGCTGCTTCTATCAGGAAACATTTTTTTAGGCCATTAAATCGCGTCAGCAGACTATGTTTAAGCCGAAACCGTTGACACTGCAACAGGTGTTTGAACGACTGAAGGAGATTGCCCTGATGGCTGGGAATGCGGTAATTTATCTAGATTATTGAATGCATTTTTCCCATTTTATAGTCTCAGGCAAAGAAGGTGAAGCTTATCCAGAGTCTTCTAGTTGCATGCTGTGAGTGCGAAGCAAAATATCTCATTCGAAGTCTCCAGGGCAAGCTGCGCATCGGTTTAGCCGAGCAGTCTGTGTTGACCGCTTTGGGACAGGCCGTGGCTTTAACTCCTTTTCACTCGATTCAGGCCCTGCTAGCCGATGGACAGCCTCTAACTCCTAGTGTTTTGACTACCAACTGGAAGACAAAGAGTGGTGCGGAAGCTTGGAAAGCCTATTCCGAAGAGGTGGTGGGGCATGTGAAGCAGGCCTACGCACAGTGTCCCAACTATGAGAAGATTGTTCAGAGCCTTTTGGAGGACGGACCGAATGATGTTCATAAGAAGTGTTGCATCGTCCCGGGCATTCCAATTCGACCTATGCTTGCGTACCCTACCCACGGAGTCACCGAGGTTTTAAAGCGCTTTGATCAGGCCGACTTCACGTGCGAGTACAAGTATGATGGAGAGCGAGCTCAAGTAGGCTTCGATATCTTATGATAAATGCTCATGGGCTATACAGTTTTTGTGTTTTCAGGACCCATGAGTGGTCCTAAGATAAATGTCCATACTATGTATCGCTTTGTGGTCACAGGTTTTCTAACAACTCTTAGCAATGTCTTTTGGACTCAGTAGCAGGTTAAACCTGAAACTTGGATTTATCAGTGTTATCCAGTTTTTTGGCCCCATTTTCTTCACAATGGAGATTTTTCCCATCTGTATGTGGATTTTGACTTTGAAACTGTCTTTTATTATTTTCCGGTGTTGATTTTCACCCATGCTAACTCCTTAAAACCTGTGCACCTTTGGTTACTCGTTATCAGGCTCACAGACAAATTACTGTAACTGTATTCCACCCTCTGATTTCTCTATGACATGCCTCAAACATGTTCACTTATTAGATTCACCTCTTGCTGGATGGTAGCGTTCGGGTTTACTCGCGCAACCAGGAGGATACAACCTCTAAGTACCCAGATATCGTAAATAGTATGGTGGTCAATGTTCTCCAAAACGCTAAACTCACTGACGAGGCCTGCAAACTGCTCTCTTCCATCAGCGGTACCGTTCAAGAGGGGAATTCTTCTGTGACCACGTTCATTTTGGACTCGGAGGCTGTGGCCTGGGATGTTAATGTCGCACAAATTCTTCCTTTCCAGGTTCTCAGTACTCGAAGGCGCAAGGTGAGTTGAGAGGATTTCATCTTCGAAATTCACCTACTTCCTTCCGCCAATGCGGGCTGCTTTTGCAGGTAGGAAGATGTAAGAACCGTCTCTTGGATAATGAGGTTCTTGAAATTTTCGTTTCATGTGTTTTGGCTGCAGGCGAGTTGTCCAGAAAATGATAATTTACTCGTTTTATCTTTTGCGTTTAAGCAGGATTTTGTCAAGCTTTCTATATTGCGTTTATCACTTTCCTGTGATCTGCCTCTAATTACCACATTTTCCCATGCACCTTTTTAGGACGTGCAGGAGGAAGATGTGGTTGTTCGTGTTTGTATCTTCGTCTTTGATTTGCTCTACTTGAATGGAGTACCCCTCACCGACCAGCCTTTCAGAAAGAGACGAGAACTCCTTAGGTTTGTTTTCTCGTTTACGAAGGTCTGCTTACATTATATGGGTTGGATGGCTTTGAAACTTTCCCGTAAAATGAGTCAGTCTAAGGTCTCTTAAAGCTACCTAGTCCACTGCGCGGTAAGGTGGATGTTGCTACTATGGTGCTTGTCTGTCTCCTAGTTGTTTATATATGGAGGAGTCTTGGTATTCTAGTAGGCATCAGCAGCATGGAATCCTGCAGGGTCGCTTTACCGCATTGATCATTATTTTGGACGAATGTGCTGTCATCTACTTCGGTCTGCCGGATGTAGTTGTTATCGCCTATGGGCACTCGAATGTAGTGCACAGGTACTAGTGCAGTTGGGACTACGTAGATTTGCTCATTTTCTGTTTTCTTTTTTGGCGTTACCAATCTCCTCTACCTCCTAATTGTGGCACCTTGTGTCTTTTTTTTGGGGGGAAGCGTTCATTCAGGATTCACATATCATGTCAATTTGATGAGATACAGAGAAACTTTTTAAGTCCTTTTAAATTCACTGGACGTTTTAAGTGCACGCCGATACTAGCGTTCTACTCTTCGTCCCCCTTTGCTTATCTGAAATAACGTGGATATTTCGTCTCCTTTGCTTTTATTATACCGCAGATTTGTGGATTGAGGAGTTTAAAACCACGCCTTCTTTATCCACTTGTTTTTAGACTTGCTTTTCCAACACTTCCCGGCAAATTCATGTTTGCTACTTCTCTGGACAGCTCCGATACGGATGAGATTGCCCGCTTTATGGATGAGTCGATCAAAGGCAAGTTCTTGTTGACTTAACTACTTCATCTTAGTCATTTTGGGTGGCTGTATCTTTACCGTCTTGAATGCAATTCGATAAGATCTTGAGTCTGGAAATTCCTTTTATTATCATATTTCTTCCTCACGATTTGCTGTTTTGCGCATGTGACACCATTATATTAACAATGTTTTAATTATAGGCCTGCGTCCTTTTATCCAAAACTGCGTTAAATTACAGACTACTTTTTTAATCAACGCGGCTGATGTCTTGATTGAGAATTAGCTTTTTGCGTAGGTTAGATTATTGTTTTTTGTCACCATCCAATTTTCGGCGTTTCATATATCTTAACTTTTCTAATTCTTTTTTATCTAGGAAATTGTGAAGGCGTAATGGTGAAAACATTGGATAAGGACGCTACCTATGAAATTGCCAAACGTTCACGAAACTGGCTGAAGGTGAGGGAGGCTACATGGGTTTCATTTGTCCATACATTATCTTTGAGTCGTCATTTGCTTTTTTTAGCTCAAAAAGGACTACCTTGAAGGTGTTGGTGATACTCTCGATTTAGTTGTAATTGGTGGTTTCCATGGCACCGGAAAGCGAACTGGTCGCTATGGTGGTTTCCTACTCGCCTGCTACAACCCAGATGATGAGGAATATCAGACTATTTGTAAGGCAAGTCCTAGCTCATGTGCTTCAAAGCCAATTCGAACGCCTTGATGTTATCATTTTTTGCTTCTCATTCGACAGGTCGGCACTGGTTTGAAGGACGAGGACCTGGCGAAGCTGTCGGACTTTTTCAAGGACCATACAATTCCTTCAGCTAAGACCTACTATCAGTACACTAAGAATCTGGAACCTGATCATTGGTTTGAGCCTGTTCAAGTGTGGGAGGTGAAGGCAGCGGACATTAGCATCTCTCCGGCTCACAAGGCTGCCGCGGGAATGGTACGTCACTTTATTTTGTTATCCATTTTCGTACTGCCTTGTCTGGCTTGTAGGCAGACCCAGAGAAGGGTCTCTCTCTGCGCTTCCCACGTTTCCTGCGCGTTCGTGAGGACAAGAGACCTGAAGAGGCAACCACTGCGGCACAGGTCTATGAGATGTACCGTGATCAGGAACATATAAAAAACGCTGATAAGCTGGATGAGCCAAATGAGGAGGAATTCTACTAACTTCTCCTTACGTTCATCTGATTGGCGTAAATGGTCTTTTTTTACTGGTACCGTTATTTTGCTATACGTCTACGTATCATTGTTCCTCATCACTCACTTTCGTTTCTTTGCTTGTCTGCAGGGTTTTTGTGGTTTGGGCACGTCTCCAACTTGATTATGAGGCCATTTTAGTATCTTACACTGTTTAAACCACCAAAGGTACAGAGCAGGTCGTACTTCATTATCCACCGGTACTCTCAAAAAGGTGTGCTGTAGAGTTCTCTGGAAGGTTCAAGTGTTCTCCACTGTGAACTTCTTTTCTGATAGATACGGTCAAGAAATGAAGTCTCCATTTAACTGAATGAATTTTTTCTCATTTCTTTCGTCAATCTTAAGTTGACATCTAATGCGAAGTGTCGTTGTGTGGATGTGGAGTGTCTTCAAATCCGATTCACAATATGCTGAAAACAACCAATCGAAGGGAAGAGAGTGCTTTGTTGCATGACAAACAGCTAGTTTTCTAGGCGAATAGTAAGTTAACCCTTCTTCAAGATTATAGAAAAAATTAATCTGAAAATGTATTTTTTAATGTCCAGTTGCTATAATTATGGAATCCTTTGGCAATCGGGCTAAGAGTTTTGTAACGCCTACATTATCTCCTCCGATGATTCAGAGCTCTCATCGTCCTCTGTCTCTTCTATTTTGCTTTTACGCCACCCAAGGCTGTCCCTAAGGATTATGCTGTGCCTGGGGTGACAGCAGATGAGTGTTGATAGCGCTACAAGAAGCAGCACAACCGTTACGAGGGAGGGAAGCCAGGCGGCGCTGCAGAGTTGACGCTGATCTACCACTACACCCTTCTGCCAAACCATTTCGCCAGAGACGAAATCAATTTTCTTGTAGTTACGTGTCAGCATCTGCTCTAGGAAGTGCATTCCCACAATTTCTACCACAGCCAGAACGCTCATTAGCACAGAATCGACAGGGCGCACCACCCAACCAACCACTGTGACTACACACACTGCTATGGTCAGTGTAGACTCCAATAGAGGGGAGTGGACAATTAGGCCTTTGTATTCGGGGTGAACAAGTTCGTAGACACCTTCATCGATGAGCATAATCACGATGATGGAGAAGAAGAATTTGACACACATATAAAAGAGCTTGAGCTCTGCTACTGAGCTAGCTACTGCGTCTCGCAGCCACGTAGGAATGCAGTACTTGATGGTGTGCACAGTTATCATATGCAGCTGGAGTGCAGTGAACATGCTAAGTTGACCTATCAAAGTCCAGAAGAAAACAACCGCTCCAGTGAATGGGAGATCCCATAACTCATAATCAAAGTTGAGGCCAGGCATATGTTCTGGAGGGCTCCATGTATTGACTCCTTGGTCAATCTTGAGCTTGCTGGTCATATTCACACCACCTATGAAGGACCGCACCCATATGGAGGGATGAGCGTTCATGCCGATTTGTACCTTGCTATTATATGCGCCAACTTCTTTCACTTTCGAGGTCAGGAGCATTGACCAGAATTGATCATAGAGTAGAACGACAGCACATATAGCCACAGATAATCTCAGCTTCCACAAGCTACTGGCTAGTCGAAGGATCTGGTAAATAGGCAATATGGTTATGAGATGTGAGAGAACAGGTAAAAATTCTGATAGACCAAGATTGGCAAAACATGATGCGATTGGAGTGGACACAAAACCCTCGCCTATGCTTGAGATTGACGATATTGACATCGCAACGAATGCTTGTCCTACCAGCTCTAGCAGACAGTGAATGATCACTGCAAACACGGTTCCGCTGAATCCTCCAAACGCTGTGATCCCCATGAAGCATAGAAATACAAGGTCTGTGTAGTTATTTGTTTTGCAGAATTCAATAAAGGCATGAGCAATCGGATTGACATCAGACTTATAAATGTAAACAGTTCCCATTAGTAGGTTTGCGTTGTACAGACCAATCAGAAATCGGCTTTTATAGCGATGCTTAAGGTAGTGCCCTACGCTCTCATAGCCAAGTCGATAGAGGAAACTCCACAAAGCGAGGCAAATAATTAGCGCCACAAGTCTTATGGTAAAGAGGCCCCAACTCAGTAGATCACCATAATAGAGGTATTCGGCGAAAGGGCTCGGCGCAAAAGACTTGGCGCTAACTACCCCCAAAATGAAGGGGTTTCTCCATATGGCGCTGGCTCCCTCGAGGAAGTGGGAAATCTGTGCATCAGGTGGGTCCTGGGACCATCGCTTATTTTTTCTTCTGCCCGACAGTAGGAAATCAAGAAGAATGAAAAGAAGGGTTGCAGCAGTTGGGGTTGCTGCAATTGTTAGAGTTATTGAGAGCATGTGGAGGTGCGGTGGGTGTCACGCGGCTTGTCAAGGTGGTCAATACTTACCGAGATCTGCTGAAATCGCAAATTCGGTCAGTTTGACCTCACGCTTTGACTGGAAGTGTTGAGGAGAGAATGCAACTGCTTTTGGGAATACTGTCAACTTGGTTTGAAGATGGAGCTAAGTGGCAAATCCAGGGAAGGAGAAATAAAAATGGATCAATTGGCAGTCTCTGAATTCGACTAAATCCACCTTCATTCAAACTGTGGCAGCAAGGGAATGTACAAGCATAGTAATTTTATAGAATCATTTATTGGTTCTTAGAAGAAATAGATGAGATTCGATGAGGCTTTGATGCTTGTTTTAGCGGCTTCCACTCACGAGTAAGCTCTTCCTTCTGCCGCTTCTGCTGAGGGGCACAGAAGGCATATCAGCGAGTTCGGCAAACAACTGACTATATTATTTGCGTATCACAGGAGGGAGAGCAGATCTTCGATGCGGTGGGAAAACTGAAACGAAGTATTCAACTGCAGCCCATTGGGACGGTAACACCGCTCAAGTGATAGCTGACCTGTCGAAGGTTTGATGGTAAGGCCTTCACTGGAACCCAGAGTTGAGCAGATAGTGATAGTGCTTAAATGCATCACTCCTCTCCTCGGCACTCCTTCTGATTGACTGATTATGTCGTAAAATGTGAGACAGGGAATGAGCTCACAAAAGCCAAGAGCTGCCACCTGCTTTACTTGGCATTTCCACTGCATATGGAATTTCAGCAAACATGGATTGTAGCTGTCATCACATTTGGCCATTGCTATACGCAGAAACATTAAACCAAAAGTACATTTGTGCAATCAAGGACTGGATTTAGCAACGATTGCTGGAGGTGAGGTTTTACGTTCAATGCTTCTCATCACGATGCTTTTATTTCAGAGCTTCATATTTTATTGAGGTGTGAAGGAGGTGTTGCGTGGCAGGACTATCTCCGCACAAAATAAGGCGTCCACCTTTGCAATGAAATTTTTACATGGCCAACGTCCCCTTCGATATTAATAACTATTCTGAGATCTACGACAAAGAGGTGGCAGCAGAGGCGAAAGCCTTTTATAAGCTCTTTGCTTAGAGCTGGGGCCTGCTTTCCCCACCACCGACACAACTCCCGACACTTCTCTGAGGGCAAGCGAAGCCAGAACTCATGGGCAGAATATGTGTTGTTGACATTTAGTAATGGGTGAGGGATGCCAGCATAGAACAGAGGTTAGGCCGCCAGACGGGGACTCTCATGACGTGTCACTGAGATCAGAGCTTAAAGCATTACTTAGCAGACTCCAGCAGTAAGGCAAAGTATTGGCGTGGTCATCGTCTCGATTACTTCTCATGAGGTTTGTAGGTTTTATTTGTCATTGCTTATTCACTCCTAAAAGACTTCTTTTTTTCTAGGGAGCAAATAGAGTCAAATCTTATCAACTTTTGCAGCTTTAAGTAATGCTTCTATGCCAATGGAAGGCATACCTTTTCACTATGTTGATTTTTTTTATAACATGACTTCAGTAATTTCAAAGTAGGCCTCAGAGCGCCGTATTGGTGGCAGTAGCAAGGAAACTCAATCTTGAGGGACGTATGGGCAAAAAGGAAATACATCTACAGTGCAAGGGCGAAATTCGGTCGCGATAATTGCAAAAAGGTCTAAAGATGACCTCTGGCTTCAGCAATAACCCATTTTGGCCTCATGGTCAACAGGGTAGCTATTAACAACTATAGCGTCATCAGCCGTGGACCACCGTTACGAGGCTGCCTGCTTTGCCCGTATGAAGGTGTCAATGAAGCGACCACGCAATACGGCGCACACACCTCATTACGGTGGGTAAAACCCTAGCAAATAAGGTTGGGCAACTTTGTCGGGTGCAAACAAGGCGGCAAGGCAAAATTGACGCTGAATTCTTTGACGCGGTTCTGCTTTTTGTTCTACCGGTGGTCTTCCTTATTGTTCATTACGGCATGCTGTCTTTTAAAACATTCGTGACGTTAATTCCTTTCCGTTGCTGCGGCACCCCGAGACTTCTCACTAGGTAGAAGGAGTTGGGGTGGCTACATGTGTTCCACGAGGGGAGAAAGGAGTTGGGCTTTAGCGTAATCTGAACGCCAACCCACGCATATAAGAGCAAGACGAATACCAAAGCAATCGTCCGACATCAGGTGGTCACATGAACGCAGCATTACAATTGCCACGAGAAACCGTTAAGGTGGTGATTATGCACTTCCTCAATTCTATGCAAACTGAATGATTGAGTTAGTTGGCTTGTTGATGATGGTTTCTGCGGCACCAAATATGTTGTAATGGATGACGGTGAGGTTGATCGGAACAGAGTTGAGAACGATGTTTAAAAGGGGAGAAAGACAATGCATTACGTTATTTGTTTGTTTACTTCTTGCTTCTAATAATGCACACACGTCGTGGTTCTTCAGTCCGTCCTCACTGGACAACCTGGCCTCTTGGCCATACCAATAGCCCCGGGTTCTGTACACTGAAATCGTAATATTTTAACATTTCATGAGACCACTGTTGGTAGCAGTGTGTTGAAGGGATTTGAGGGTACTGCCATTGGTGAAAAGCACTAATGCGCAAATGCAGTACAATTCATAGCAATTGCGGTCGGCGTGTGGCAAAAAATGCAGCTAAACCAAAGACCCGTTTAGCAAGGATGTTTAAAGCTATTTTACGCCCGTTGATAGCATCAGTTTGATCTTTTATCCAGCTCAAAATGCACGCACTTGCCGTGTACGAATGCCAAGTTATACTGAAAACTATTAAGTAGACGCACGAAACTGGATGCATGCAGCATTGTGATCCGGAGTCCGATTGCTGAACTCTTGACGTCTACGAAAGTGTAGATTTGCCGAATGAGGCTGTTTTTACACTGTGCCAGTACCCTCCAGCCTACCACTACATCGGCTAATACAGGCCCTCCCTGATTATTATTGTAAAACGTTTTTTAAGCAAAGTTGAGTACTTCTAATAATTGGCGGTCACTTTGGTGGTCATCTTGCCTCTACCGCGCGGGCTGACCTTGGGGCCAGGCCATGTCCTCTCTTCCATCTTTTTGGTTTGAATGCAAGTATTTAAGCATGCCAAATGATTTCTACTGCTAAATGGGAAGTCTCGGAGGGTTACTACCACATTCTCCTTTGTCATCGGGAAGTTTCGGGTGCTATAAGGCCATCGGGTTGGTAGAATGCAGTGTTTTGGTTCTGTGCATAGATTGGAGGATGATGTATATGACAAGCTTGCGTGTACTTTGCCAGCACCAATACAACTAGCTTGTTTACGTGTAGCATATCAGAATGTGGTGGAAGAAAACCTGTGACCAGTCCCATATTATAATGGCACATATCACACTCTCACACCATCACGTATACGCCAAATTAAGTGCAAAAATTTTTAGCGATCACCCAATACCCATCGGATCCATTTCGGAGTATTTTTTTAATTCACAATTATTTAAAGAGTGCAGGCAATAGTCTGATTGCTTTTAATTTATTTTCGGGATTGCGGGTACTCAGTAGCTCACTCCAAACTAGGTACCTCCTTATCCCTTCGGCACCTGAGCTATGCATAGTCTACTGCAGAAATGGTGACTCCGTTCGTTTGCAGAAAGAAGTCGAGTGCTTGCATTGGTGACAGTCGTGGAGCCAATGTCCTTCAGACAAAAGACGGCTACGTCGCCTACCTTATTTTGTGATTAAGGAGGCATTAAAGGCGTGCTGACGGGATCATTTTAAATGAGCAAACAATTAAATGCATCTTTATTTATCGTGAAATGAGAAACGGCTTTGGTGAGCAAATGTGCATTGGTGATGATCGCTATCTGATTCACACTGATGACCAAAACTTCTTCATTTCCATTTCTATAGGTAGCGAATAAGTTCATGGCCGGAGTGTGATCAGTACATGAATGACTGTCAAAGAATAACGCGAAGGTATGTTTCAGGGTTCCCAAATTGGACCGACTAATTTTGTTGTTCAAAAAGCCACCATTCGAAACACCATTTGCGCCACTTGCACAGATGCGCATAACTAACCGCTAAAGCAGACTACCATGCAACTCAATTTGATAAACGATTATAAACTACACTACTAAGGAGACCTTAAGAGAACTTTCGTCTTGCCCTACCCATTTCTTGAGTGACTGGTGTTGCTAACGTGAAGTACAAGTCGCGATTGCCAATCAATTCCATCTCGAGTCAGTCCGGAAGAGGAAAACCAAGTATGTGCAAAATCACCCGACCCAAAGGGTTCTACCCCGTAGGGCTTTTTAACCATAAAAGTAAATAGTACGCCGCCTGTTCTTCGCCACTATGGAATGTTATCCTGAATGCACGAAGTTAGCTCCCCATTTGATGTTAACACCTCAATTCCATACACGACTGTCCAATGTTCATCCTGTACTCCTGTGTTTGAACAAGAGCAGCGGCAGCAAAACACTCGCTGGATACGGTAGTGAAGTGACTTTGAACTTTGCGAGACCTCTACTAATCGGTTGCAACACGAAATAGTTTGGAGCACCATTGAAGCACGCTTTGTCGCTCTGACAAACAAAGCAGCCATTAGTGGACCCTTGGAATGACTTATCAGCTACGCAAATGCTACGGTCAGCATTCCGGTCTGTACATGCAAGTTCTGCAACAATGAGCACATTTCCAGCTTCTGGCCCAATTGTAGCGACACCTACATTGTCTCACTTTGTTAAGGTTAACACCAAAACCGTTTACACGTCTTAATGACAATGCGCACCGAAGGCAAATCGAGTTTTGCGTGTCAACGTCAGCGATAATGCACTAACCACTAGATTCGAAACGACCTGCATTACGGATGGCGACGACTCTGCCTACAACTGGAAGAGTTCACTTTTAAATGGAAATAACGGTGACGCAATGCTAACCAATGACCACCAGGGGCTGTTCATGCAATGCTTCAAGTTCTGAGAACCTTAAAACATTAAACCCAAACTACTAATTCAAACCAACCTGACTACGTAGAGGATGTCTCGATACTTGGGGAGTTAATCAATGTCACCACGAGATCAGACACAGGCAAGGTCCAATTCGAGCATCGATATCAATGCTCGTGTGCTTGGCTGCACAGATCGCCATCATTTGCTTGTGACAAATCGCGTGATTCATGATGCCAAGTCTACATTTCGTGCGACTCTCAGCCACCGAAATCCACGCAACCTGAGCCAGTAGCAGGCGCTGGCCAAATGAACAGGAGCACGCGAAGCCAATACGGCCACCAAAACCCAATCAAATGATAAAATCGTCCACTCACCTCAACGTTCCTCGCCACAGAGCATGCAGGCATATGCTCAGACATCCCATAGACTCCACGCAAGGTCCCGATATGCTTTTTAAGAGCTGCAAACCACACGATCCATTGACATTGGAGACCCCTCACACCGCCACGACCTGATCGGTCCAGAGGCATCAAACTTAATGAGCCAAGGGAGGGTGGAGGACAACCCGACAGAACAGATGCGTTTCATACAAAACAACTACTCATGATATTGTCGTCATAAAGGTAGTTACACAATCCCCATTGTGATTCGACAATTAATGGCGCCACAAATTGCGTCGAGGCAGCAGGAGTACTGTACTGTTTGAAAATTGTCCGTTTCAACGGATGTGAAGTTGAGCTGTCATCAGGGTAGATGCAAGAAAAGACATGTGGAGGGGGGGATCAAGGGGTTATATACAATGTAATGGATATCAGATATTTACACATTCCGCTGCATTTACAGTCAAGCACTTGATCTAAGGGAGGGCCAGCAAGGGGCTCTGCTGTCGGTGCCGATGGTAACCAAGACGTCGGCTATTCCTTATTTTGTCTTCGTACTGCGCGCCGAATCAGCCGTCCATTAAATCCCGTCTCTTGAGGAGAACTGAAAGATTGACACGAAGAGAATGCATCACCAAAGCGCATTTACACACTCCTTAAAATCAGTCTAGCAAAAAAACAGGCATAAGCGCACGAATCCAACGGTCTGAAAACTCATAGTGGGCAGAAGTAAAAAAGACTGAATTAACCAAGGACATGGCAATACTTAAGACATTTTTTCAGCATAAGAGAAGACCGTAACTAACTTGGTAAATTCCACACACACTTCATCAAAGAGGTAATGAATACGAACCATAACTGAATCTGTGACGTAGATGTCGCTAGTGTTGATATAAACTAGTGAGGAAGCTCAATGAAACATGTTATGTTAAATCCTTCTTACTTTGCCATGGGAACCGTAGATTCGCTCGCACTCCCAGTGTCACCAGAAGTATTACCTGATGACAGTTTCGGTTCGCCAAACTTGAACACAGGTGCTGTAACAGGTGATGCTCCAAAGTTGAACGAAACCGAAGGGAAACTACTCGTTGTAGCACTTACGACGGGAGTTACGTTTTCTTTTTTGGCGCTAAAATCAAATCCAGATGGTCCACCTGAGGAGCCAAAGTTGAAGCCACCATTCTTCAGGTTAGAAAATATTGAAGTGACAGATGGTTCAATGACCCTAGCTGGAGTATTAGATACATCGGCTGGTTTTGAAAAGGAGAACGATGGAGTGTCCGAAGTAGCTGTTGTAAAACTGGAAACGGACACGGCACTTGAATTTTGAGAGCCAAAGTTTAAAGACGGTTTTAGAGTCGACACAATAACTGGGGGAGAAGAAAAATGCTGTGAAGTTCCAAACTGGGTGCCTGCATGCGGATACACTTCGGGATTTTTAGCTTGACAAGAAACACATTTTGAAACCGAAACACCATTTTTTGCCAAACACTTGACGCAAGTCCACTCACTTTCTGCAGGAACAGAGTTGGAAATCTTAGACTTTTTGGTCTGACAGCACAAACAGAGATCAGCAGAAGCATCATTCTTTGCCAAACAAGTAGAACAAACCCATTTATCATCACTTTCATTTGGAACACTAGGATTGGATTTCAGCGGCAATGAAGGTCTATTCGTCTGACAGCAAACGCAGGAGCCAACAACATCGCTGTTTTTGACCATGCAAGACGGACACTCCCATTTATTCTCGCCTGCATTACCGAACTTAACCCCGACCTCATTTTTGTGAACTGCAGAATCGCCAAATTTGAAATTAGGTGTAGTTGTTTGATCCGACTTGTTTCCAAAACAAAAACTAGCTGCGGTAGGTGTCACATTATTGGGATTGCTGAAATTGAAGCCAGAGATGGAACCACAACCAACTACTCTGGAGGCAGGAGAATCGTTTGACATAGGTTTTGCAGTTTTGCAGCAGGGACAATCTTTAAGACTTTCATCATTTTTGACGAGACAAGTAGGACAGTTCCATCCTTTGCTGGAAAACAAGGAAGACTGGGATGCACGTTTAACAACCTCAGGTGAATTAGGAGTCGATGTGACAGGATTACCGAAATTGAACGCAGAGCCGGAAAGTGACCCTTTGTCTCCCGTTGGTGCCACACATACGGTGTCGGTAGATGAGACTGATTTGGGAGGACCGAAGTTAAAAGTAGGTGCGACAGTAACCTTCTCCTTTGAAATATCGGTAACCACTTTGACCGACGGTTTCAATGTGTGACAACAGACACACTCCGGAGCTTCTATTTTGTTCTTGACCATGCAAGTAGGACACTCCCAACCGTTCGATGGGGAACTAACCAAAAAAGCGGGTTTATCGGGGGTAGCAGCTATGGAATTAGATTTCGAGGTATATGGAACAGGAATCGGTAGATGGCAAGACTTGCACACCCCATCCCTTCCAGAGTTCTCCATCAGACAACTTTCACATCTCCATAAATCCAGATCAGATGGTAATGCGGCTAGAAAAGCAAGATTGAAGTTAAGCGCGGTAACTGAAACACGAGACCCAAGAGAATATTAGCGACCGTCGTAAATAAATTTTTAGCAATGACTTTGATTTAATTATAATTACGAGTAACTGATGAATACCTTTCTTAGATGGATGTGGATGGGCTAACATCGGCTGCTGGGGTGACATTAAAATGGGGAGGAAAGATGAATTTTCCACAGGAGCCGGCCTTTTAAACGATGGTTTGGGGTAGCTGAAAGCAAATTCACATACAGCCGGAAGAATGGCAGAAGACCCCATGGGTGATCCCAGAGAAATCGGACTAGAAAAAACGAACTTTGTTTGTTGATTGGGAGACAATAACCCTGCTCCCGTTGACGGTTTTGCCAAAATACAGGCATCAGAAACAGTTCCAGGTATCTGCAACCCAACTTCATCAATATTTTCGCCTTCCTTCGTAAAGTTCGCATAACTGGCGCTAGGATGACGTTCCATGTCTGCCTTTGACCTCTCGGATATAGTTAAGGCACCATGAGACTGAATCGAGGTAGGCTTTAAAGTCTGCGATGACTCAGAAGACGCTTCGAATGCCGACGGCCTTGTGACGCCAATAGTATCGCCTTTTTCAAGGGTTACAGCTTCGCTGTCATGCTCTTCAGTGCGATTACGAAGGACAGAAAATTGTGGCAAGACCGATGGACTTGGTGACTGAGAAGCAAACTGTCGCTTGAACTCCTTATACCGATTATAAGTGGCCATATAAGAAGGATAACGAGTCGTACTTCGCCGTAAAGGCTATAGGAGTGGAAATCATAAGTAAACAAATGACATCTTACCGTTGAAAGTGGAGAGAAAGGAATCGGCACAAGAGACGAAACCTTACTACCAGATGGTATCGCAGAACCATGTCTCTCCAGACTCTGAAGTATGCGCTGGGCAGTGGCACTAAGTATCGCATTCGAAGATGAAGGCGAGCTATTAGGTGACTCGCCCTCATTATCCTCCATGATATAATGAAGTGGAGCAACATGCTAGAACAAAAAGCAGGTGCTATGCTACGCAGAAATTTGCGCTGACATTTGAGTGTGTTGGGAAAAAAACTGAGATCCACAGAACAAACCTCAAACACATTACGCGACTGCGGTGTACAACGCAAACTTGACGCCCCTCCATAGGCAACTCTACCACGATAAAACGGCGAAGAAAAGGCGCTAGATAAGGGGCTCTGAGTACTTTCCATTCGCATCCTTTTGGGAGCTGAGTGTGTCGCATTTAAAGTCGATTGTTTACACCCTTCAAGGTCAGTCCATAGCTCAATAAAGCCCCTATTTTTGTTCGAGCTATTTCCTTGCCCAACAGAATCAGATCGATAATTCCTGGACTGCGATTTCACGAAAGGGTGTTCGTTCCGATGTCTTCGAGGAAAAAGTGACGACACGCCACTGGTGGACATCGAAACTCTGCTTCCAGTACTGTACTCTGATCTATCGTCCACTGCATCAAGATCAACATCCACAACTACAGACACCGGCGAGGATACATTCGGAATCTGCACACCCTCTAAACGACTGATAGAGAGATGCCTCGGTAACCGAGATGAGACTGAACGCAAGGACACGTCGGGGACCGTAGAAGTCCGAGACCTCTTTGCTGAACTTTCAATATAGTGAACTTCTCTATTGTCATTTCCAGAAGGAGCCTAAACCCGAAGTTCAAGTAATAGACACAACTTACCTCGTCTTTTGATTCAAAGAGGGAGGGAAGGAAGGATGTAATGGTATCAGTAATCCGATACAGTAGAGACTGAAAACGGAAGGAAACAGTTACGAAACAATAATTTTAGGGAATGGTTGGTACTAAAAGAAATAGACCTTCCTACGACGAATCGACCTCCCATTTTGTGCATCAGACAATTCATGAGATCCACGATCACTCATTTTCAAGCACTCACTATGCAACAAGCGCACTACTCAGGAGAACGTGAGTTTAAACAAAACCGTCGCAGCATTATAGCGTGCTCCTAGTAAAGGTTTAAATGCAAAATAAGTCAGAGATAGAAGGTGATTATATTTAAAGCATGATCACTCAATTAGAAAACCTACTAACAGGTGCTTTACAAAGTATGGATTTATGTCATTTAAAAATCAAAACTAAGTTGCAAAGTTGGCTATTCTTCACAGGCAACCTATGAAAAAACGCCACAACTATGGTCTTGAGTTTCCTTAATAGGTAGAGGAAAGCATAAAGTTGGGATACATCCGTGTACTAAAGGAGAGATAGAAAATGGGCTTTGGCTTATCTCGAAGGCCACACTACGCAAACAAGGCCGATACAAATACCGTAGTGCCTACCAATTGTACAAGCGGCCACGCAAGCAACGAAATACGGTAAATGTAGCTTCACAAGATTTTCCAGCGGGTAGAAGAAGGCGGTAAATGGAGCTGAATACATGTATTCCAAGGTGGGCATAAGAACTACGCCTGAGCTTGGCCTACGCTTAAGGTCCAGACGAATCTTAAAATAGTCACCAGACATCAGGTGGTTAAATGAATGAATTATTATGGTAAAATCTTAAGACTGTTCGTTAGGTAGTAGGAATGTTTTTATGCAGATGGAACTGGTAGAAATGAGACTACAGCTGAGTCCGAGGTCTGTCTGTAATGCCTTGTATATGTGACTACTTGACATTTGGCGGTCACTTAAGAATTTGTCTGACTCCTATACACGTGGACTGGCCTTTGGGCCAAGCTCAGGTCCCATTTGCCCTGTCGTCTTCGGACTACATGCATTCAACCTCACTTATGCCTTCTTCCACCCTATGGGAAGCCTCTGGACGCTATGTCATCTTATTCCTTTTAATTTTGGTGCTCTTGATCGAGAAACCCTACCGGGAGACGTAATGTAGCGTCCTGAGGCAATCACCGGGCGGATGGCATTGCGATGGGCAGTGTAGCGTCCCGAGACTTCCCATAGGGTGGAAGAAGGCAGTGAGTGAGGCTGGATACATGCATTAGGAGAGAACCGATAAAATGGGCCTGAGCATAGCCCGAAGGTCAGCTCACAAGTGCAGAGGCAAGACAAATCCTAAAGTGGCCGCTAAACCTCAGGTAGTGACATTAACAAGGCATTACAAGCAGAATGCATAAATTCTGCGGGAAGAGGAATGGGTAGAACTTTGGCTTGGCCTGCAGGTTTGCCCACGCATACGAGAGCAAAACCGAATATCAGAATATCAACCAAAAGTTAGGTGATTACAGTAGAATTTCGTTTATAAAACCTCCCTGTATGCTCTTATCTTGTGCGCTTGGGCTGATCCTTGCGATAAGCCAAAGCCCAAACTCTTCTCCATGTTAAAATGCATGCATTCAGCCCAACTCCATGCCTTTTTTAAGTATCAAGGGAGCGAATTGGATAGCAAGCGTCATCAAGTTGTACAATCCTTCTGTAATGTTTTTTTGTGTGAATACCTAACGTTTGACGGTCACTTTAGGATATCTGGCCCTTGTACTCGTGGGCTGGTCTTCGGACCATGCCCAGGCCCATTTACTGCTTTCTTTCACCCTATGGGAAGTCTCGTGACGCTACACCTTCGTGTTCAAACGATCAAGTTCTTTTCCTGTAGCGTTCCAAGTCTACCCACTAGGGTAAAAATAAAGTGTTTATAAGCACATACTACTCGGCATTCCGTTAGAGAAATATTTTGTGTTGATCTTTAAATTTTCCCCCATTAAGACTTATAGCCCGTTTAGTGTGTAAATGATTTAACTTCAAAGGTCAATGGTTAATTGTGAACTTCACTGCTTATATATCTTGTTCCTTACAAGGAAAGGCCGCTAGAATATCAGGCTAATTTGGTAAATTTAAGTAGGAGATTCTTAATTGTCAGCTGTGTAGCCCTTTAAATGACTATGGATACTTTCCTGAGCATTCTGAAAATGTGGCGATTGGGAAGTGGTCATTAACGTTGACTCCAAGGCTTTAACTAGAACCAAATAGACCATAGTTGTGTTTGCTAACCTCGGATCAGGACTCTTCTTAAATTCATCAGAAGAGGATCTTATTTGCATGGCTTTATTCGGAATTTTAAAGGGTTATGAGCTAAAACAGGAACGAGGAAAGAGGAATGATGTAAACACAGTGGTTCCAGCGGGCCATCCACGCATTTCGTGAGCATCGCATTCAATTTAACTGTCCACCTCTCACATACAAAGGGCACTTTACTCACACATAATGCGTTGCTTTAATAGCTTTCGTTTAAGGTAATCTTCTTGTATGTCCTCTGAGTTTCTTAAATTTGTGCACTGCAGAATGCCATATTGGTTCCATGTTAGGAGTATTTTATTCCATCGAAGACATCCAAAAAACAATAGCTCGAGAAACGCAATGCATGGGTTCCGCTATTGACCACTGGATAGCATACTCCTCCGTCTTGGTGAGTAGCATAAAATCTCCATTCCAGTAAATACTGCAGTCTAGGGCAAAGTGGACGGTGGTTATGGTAGGCGATGAGAGAAATTGAGGCGTCATGAACCGATTAGGCGATTAGGCGTGTTGGTGATTCCCAACTTTTAATTTTATTGTACAACATCAAAACTCTTTACTCTCCTAAGTACACCATAGACGTGTAAAAACAAAAAGTGGAAGAATTGAGGTTGGTGCTATGAGTATGTGGTTGTTAAACGACCATCCACGTGTCGAATAACATCTTTTGGGCTCTAACTGAAACCCTTTACGCAGTGTTCATGTGGTACGGACGCCTCTTTTAGCGAGTCTTAATGTGCTTTCCGTCTAAAACTCGCCAGTGATCGTAGATTTCCTTTACTGAGTGGTTTTGCAAAGCATCTATCCAGATCTACCTTCGTGCTGCCAGAGGAAATGCAAGAAAGTAAGGACGACACTTATTGAAAGGGAGAGGACATGCTTTTCCCAACTGCCAAATCATTAATTTTGGTGTATTTTAATAATCCAAAAGAAATCCATTTGTAAATAAAAAGAACGACACACAGGGACTACGCAAACAAAATATGCTCATGTGGAATCTCCAAAGAGCCGTGATTTCCATATTTAATTAAGTTAATGGGATATTTTAATTTCTTTAATCAGTCCCTTCTGATCTCGCCTTCCTCTCCAATTACACATTCAGAAGAGGTTGATCAAACCAAAATTGGAATCGACAATAGACGGATATTTCAGTGTCTGCCCAACACCAATTCGCGAGATTTGCTATGCCCCTCTACTGCTTCTTCATGTTTCCTTGCACGACCCAGGAAATCGCTTAATGAAAAGAGAAGAAAGGACCGAGAATATGGTCTCTCGCAATGCTCGTCGTGTGATTAAACAATGTGTTTTAAAAGTACGTGAAATTTATTTGTGAGGTATACGGGAGCGTTAAATTCTGCCCTGGTACTCCTGCTTGGGGCGCCGCCCTTAAAGCAAAACAGGAGCTCTTTAGCACTTTTGTAAGTAGGCAATGCATATACGACTCTAAAGGCGACACAACACTGTGGTACTCGGGCGGAACCTCCACTACCGGCAAGCATAAGGCATTGGGACCACCGATTCTGTCCGGAAGTCAAACCCACCACAGACGTCCCTGCATTAACTTGCGAATTAAGTAAGCATTACGAGTTGCTAGGTTTGCTAAAACTGATTTATGCGACGATGCGTTTTTGGGAATCAACTTCTATCAACAGAATGAAGTTTGAGGAGAATTGCAGGCACCAAGCTCTTCTGGAGGATGCGTTTTGACTCCCCTATGCCTACTGGATTGACTAACTTCTGGCTGTCACTTCTCAACAATCCAAGAGAATAGGCTTATGACTACAATGCGCTTAACCATCAAAATGAAAAGACCCATCACCGATTGTCGATCTGATCCCTTCACCATAAGGGAAGGTACGACTCATTCAGCTGCTACCCTGGGTGCCATTCTAGAATAACAGGGAGAAACCAATCTCGAATCCCTGAGCTTGATACGTGAAAGAAGTTTCTCCAATAAAGTACCCCATCACAAAGCATTTTCTCCTGTTTTAGAAGGAGCATCAGAAGAGGAGCCGAGCCAGTTCAAAACGTTTTCATCAACCTCTGCATCACCTTTGCATCACAAAATGTCAGTGTTCAAAACCCAACGCGATCATACTTTAGAAGGTGCATCATTGCTCCAAACTCAAATGTTTTTTCATTGACTGTGACTTACAGTTCCATTAAAATGTAGTCTGCAAATTGCAATTCAACCATCGGGCCTTTCTTGTAAAAAAAGAACTCCTAATTGTATTACGAGCCGATGCAATCGGATGGATAACAACAGGTTATTTAAAATGTTGCCAGCGTAGCATGGTGGGATGTATTTTTCAGGGATTGATTCCCCATTCTTGCTATGGTTACATCGCAATCACATCGAGTAACCTTCATAGTATCAAGTCAACACTTGGAAAGAATGGGTTAACACGCCTCCTAATTCTGATCAGTGTACAAGCAGCATACCATGAAATAGCAGCTTTATTTGATCGTACCACCTTATGTGAGTAGTTAATTCGCACTTGAGGGTGATGGCGGGAGTGGAGGCACGGGCAAAGGCGGAGGCGGAGGTGGGGGCGGAAGAAAGATGCCTTGAGTCACCTTTTCGAAGTACTCTCGCAGATGAGCAGTCCATGCGGAGAGACTGTCGTTGACGCAAGCGCCACCGCAAACATCCCCACTACTGGTGCTGTAACCGCTACTACCACAATGCGATTGCATTGGCTCTCCTGAGGTTGTGCCACTCAACCACAAATAGCTCGACAATTCAGAGGTATGTTGACCCATTAGAGAAGGGAGGTTCGGGTGAGTTTTCAACATCAGAACGTCGGGAGCAATCAGCGGAGCAACACCCAGCAGAGTGGGACGCTTCGGTGGCGCGAAGCACGCCGCAAATGTTGCAGACTCATTAGGATCTTCTTCCACCGTCTCAACAGGGGTGGCGACAGTGGAGGTAGTAGTTGTGGTGGTGGCAAAAGGTGTGGGAAGGGGGAGAGAGAGGGGCACCTTCTTAGTACGATTACCACCATTGAACATTGCCTTAATGTCCTCCCATGCGAAGAGCAGACTATCCGGGGGATTGGGGTTTGCTAGTAGGAGGTGGCGCCTCCAAGCGTTAAAATTGGCAGCATCTGGATGGCGGTAATTGACGATTTGCTGCTGTACACCGGTTTCAGCCGCGCTGTGGCAGTGAAAAATGAATTTGTTCGGCGAGAAAAATACCTAGGGAAGAGAAATAAATAAAAAAGAAGCCGCAGTTATTTAAGATTTTGGTTGCGTCTTTGTACGAAACTGGTCTTATGGCTTGACATGCTTGGGAAAAAAACCCTATCAAACTAAATGAGTAAAATCTTCCTTTAAGCTTTAATAGCGAAAACTAGATTTTGCTTCAATGAAAGTATTGTGTAAATTGTTCAAGGTGGTGCAGAAAACACATTGATCCCAAAAGCACTACCGTCATTTAGGATGTTGACTTTAGTAAACACTTTAACAAACTTGCAAACTTTTTGGTAATTAATGCATAGTCATTTGTTAGAAAATGCCACCAAAACAGAGGCATTGTTTGGGGTGAACACAACGACAGCCCCTGGTACACACCTTGAATGGTACTGTACTACCTAACATTTGGAAGTTAATTTCCACGATCTTTTATTTCCAAGGGTACCACATTACAATTCTACGGAGAAGAGTCAGCTCACATGGCAGAAGGCGCATTGGACACACTTGGCACGCGAGCTGTTGTAGCGCGTGGGCACGAAGAGCCCGGAACAGCCCCAACCACAGTGGTGCTCTACCTCAAAGACGAAGTTCTCTGGCAGTCGAGGTGGTGCAGGTAGATGCTGTAGGAAGGACTCCACGAGACGCTGAGCCTCGCGCTTTGTAATGGTGCCGCAGCGCCGTGAGCTCAGTGGCATAGCACCTACACGGCGCAGCATCTCTAGCTGGCGCGGACTACACTGGACGCAGGTGATGCCAAGCGCCACGCGCCGGTTATGGATCTCGTTGTAGGAGTAGCCGCGCAGCAGGCGCGAGGAAATTTGCGCGAGACAGAGGCGCTCCTCTCCATTTAGCAAAAGGCATACCAACGGCTCGCCAAAGAGGTGAAAAATGGATAGAGTCGGTTCCTCCATGCCTTTCGGCTGCAGCAGAGCGTGGATCGAGTGTGACAGCATCTTCTCCTTCCCGGAAGACTCCCTCATTTGGCCTAGCGATTTTGTTGTACAAAAACACATATTGCGTTCATTTTTGTAAGGATAGCTTTAAAAGGAGGTTTAAGCAAGTAATATCAACATTGCTTAAGGATATTTATTTGTGGGTCAGCTAACACCTAAGCTCAATGCAGATGCTCAGCGATCTCGTCTAAGCAAACCAAAAAAAGGTCGATCGGACTTCATAGTTGTTAATTTGATTGGAAGAACTGCAATGGGCACGATTTCTCCTAATGGTGAACTTTTGAGACAAAGTAGAATTATGTTCCTGCTAAATTAAGTCACCTTCTATAGAAATAAAGACTTGACTTTGTAGCTATTTAGGGATAATTTCCGTAGTCTATTCGAGTCATATATGCGTAGAACCTTTTGAAAATTCCATTGCACTTAACTTGCAAATGCTTGACCATTTAACATTATCACAATGAAGTCAAAAAAATGTCAAAATCAACTTTCTTTCTAGGAGGACTTTGCACTAAGTTAACACTTAATGGAATAGCGGCTTACAGGTCAGTGAAGTGCAGCTTTGACAAGTGAGTGCGGTACCTTGTCCAGGCTGTGTCCAAATACGGCACCAGAAAGGCGAATTAGCCAATGGGAAGGCGGGAGGATGTTGGTGAGCCAATAGCAGGCGTGATGAGGGGGCGAGGCTTGCGGAAGGAGGCGCATAGGCACAAGCCGCTTATTCTCTGATAGGTCAAGCCGATTGGAGTGTTTTCCAAGTGGACTTTACTAATTCTCGAAACTTTGACCACAGGTAACACAAGACCTACAGATAACTCTTGACGAAACCGTTTTGGGAGTGAAGTGTTGAATGTAACGCCTTTTCATAGTATCCCTTACTACATTGACTTTTAAAGCATAATTCCTACCAGTAGGCAACAAGCTGTTAATTCTAAATATTTTTACAGCAATTTCCTTTGTGTCAAGTTGGAATGTATAGCGAGTACATTGCCCTGAGGGGTTTCGATGAGCTTAACTTTGTAAAAAAGTTACATTCTTAAATGAACTCTGAATTTTCCATTCGTACAGTGCATTCCCAGTACTTAAAATCCTATTTAATCCATCAAATCTTAAAGTCTTGCAAGAGAAAGCAAACAATTTTTGCTGGAACACAGTCGGAAATTTCACCTCACAGTTATACAATCTGACCAACATGGCAACCGCAGCCATTTCTACTCATTCGCAAATGCCAGCGACGGTAAAATCAAGCCAAAATGAGTAAAAAAAGTTTCTGTGCTTACGTACTTGCTATTGATGGCTGTTTGGCTACGCTCTGTCGCCTAATCGAACTCTCAAAGCATATAGTACCCCTCAACTTGGACCGTGGGTTTATGTAAATCTAAACTGATCTATTCACTCCCTCTGGAAACGGACTCTAGGATGGCGACTTGGCGGCAAGTTCACACCATCCCAGCATATACTCCTCAAATCCCCCTTGGTGACTGTCATAATAGGCGTTTCCAAAATAATGGGATTTTACCGATTTAGAGACATGGTGAGCACTAAAATCGTTCCAATTGTCATTTATTTGACATCAAGGATAGCCGACATTGGTGTGAATTACTATGAGGTAAAGCGGCAGGTTGTCTTTGCAAGTAGCTTTAAATTACTGGTGTGAGCTTCTCCAGAAGATATCCTGTCACATTCCATTTGATGTTACAAGGCGTAAAGGCGTCACTTTTCAACTGTTGACATCCCAACCCCAATTTATAGCCAGGACTGCCATTCGACCTTGGTGTCTCAAGTCTTTTAAAATCTGCAAGCAACTTAGGGGAGGCTTAGGTTTAAAGTTACTTAACCCTCGCAACGGTTGAACTGGGTCAAAGTAGGGTACTGCTGCTTCAGTGCTGCTTAGTTGTGCTTACCAGGATCCGCACAACAAGTGGGAACAGTGAGTAATAATGCGAGTCTCCTCCATTGACGCCTTCGTCTGGGTATCATAAACACTACCGTAGCAAACGCTTTCGATGGTCAAAGGTAGTATCAGTTTAAAATACCAGGTCACTCGGAGGTGGCACAATTGCCTTTCCTAAATTACCTGAGTAACCGTACAGGTACAGTGTTTATAGTCTCACTTATCTTCTCACAAAGATAGAGAAAGTAGGACTTCTGTATCACTCGGTTGAAAGACACTTGGTACTGTTAAAGGGGTACGAGTTGCATGGTGGGAGGCTTGGCGAATCGCACCTATAGCGCTTTTGTTGCAAGGTAACTGCAGGACCCGCGTGATTCATATTCCCGTCATACCAACAAAGGTGTAGCAGAGGGGTACGCTGTGGCAGGCCTCTCTTTTCGCGCTCCTTGTTCAACCACCTTAGCCATCCCAACTTCACATCTGTGTAAGTGTGCGTGCACTTATGTGGAGAGAACAGTGTCCCAACAATACAGCACCTGATATGTAACAATGCTGGTAAAGTGTTAAACAAGGGAGAGAAGTTATGGCGCAAAAATCACACACATACAAACACGTATAGATAGAGAGAGGGAGCAGTGAGGTGGGCGGGTGAAGAAGGACAATGAATTTGCTTGTGGGATAAACGTATTTATGTACATCGTGTAGAGGAGAGAGCAGTGGGGGAGAAGGTGAGGGAGACCGATGGCAGAATTGACTAACAATGACAGCAACAATAGTAAAGATAATGGGTTATTCAGTGTTTTGTGATTAGAAAGTGGGGCTATTGTGGCGCACAATAATTCGCTACGAACTGCAAGAAGTGGCAGTGGTGGCAGTAGTTGGGCGTTTCCTGAGCACCCATTTTGGAGCTGAGCCACATGACAGATTGCAAACAAAGGAATTTACATATAGTTTTGCAATGAGATGAGGCTTGCAGGGTGTGCATTAGCATGCTAAATTATTACTTTTTGGGGTTCATGGTGCATAGTACGCATAAAGTAATAAGGAGATAACAAATGACAAAGAGAAGGAACCTTGACATTGAAGGACGGAACTCCTCGCAGATGGAAGTTAGACCTCTCTTCCAGAATATCAAGACAAGCAACCAATATCCGTGAACTGCATTTTAATCCAAAGACAACTTCGTTCTTTGTGTACAACAATCCAGACTTTATGTAGTCCCTTTAAAAATCGGTTTTTGCAGTCTCAGCATTCTGAGGTGTGGGACTTCTATGCACTCGTTACCGAAATATCGTCAATCGGCTGCAGCTAAATACTAAACCACCATTTGGTAAACATGGGCAATTAGGTAAGTTAAGTAGGACTGCTGACATCAAGTGGGGCTGGAAAAGTGCCAAGGTAATTGTGGAGACCTCGTAGACCCTTCACTTCACTGCCATTTTCATACAAGCACAAAGAATACTTCCACAGGATGCTCTTATAAAGGCCTTCTCTGCAAACCACGAGACAATGGCATTTGTTAAAGTCAGACGTAGCCTTAACATCTTCCATTCAAAATCATCTCCGATTCGCCTGTAAGTGGCAAACCGCCTGCCAGCACGCAGCAGAAGTGCTGAACTTTATGGTGAAACACGCTACCAAGGCCCATCAGATTATGCAGTGCTGACGGACGCAGGCTCTGGAGGCAATAGCATAGCCGGGAGATCAATACAATAATAACGGTCTAATTTCCCTGCCGATGGAAACTTTTGAATAAACGGAAAGGTAGTTTGACTAAATTGTAAACTAGTAGCAGTAGTTTAATTGTACTACCACTAATGCACAGATCCTCCCTCGGGCAAATTAATTGTCCATGGTAGTGGAGCAATTCCCTTTTGACCAATTTTACTCAAAAGATACAAAACTGTGCGGGTGGAGGCACAAATACACACGTGGATGCAAAATCTCGGCAATGAAGTCCAATCACAAACCGTTCTTCCCTCAATCCCCCTTCCACGCATCGTGGTGCCACGAGGGAGAAGAGCCGTATGGCGATATGAGCAGTAAGTGGACCGTAGTACGCACACTCACTCCCTGAGGACTGCCTTGTGGTCACAACCACCACCACCATTACCTTCATCGCATCAATGTACGGTGGCCTGGCCTCGGTGATAAGGTAAACTCCGAACTCGCGCCCGCCATACCGCCCCACTCTCCGCTAGCAGATGATATTTTGCCAATTCCCTCAGCGCAATTCGCGAACAAAGCTCCTGCTCCCAATATATGATATAGGGGGCTCGACTAAGACACGCGAATCGGATACGAAATTAACGCTACAGTCACTGGCACAGCACAGATTACAGCAGCAGATCTTTGGACGTTATTTCGCGTTTCACAGGACAAATGTTTTAAAACGAGCGAAAATGCAAAAATCGACGTAACAAAAAAGAAAACCGTGTTAAACCATGGCAATTACACCCCATAATTTGGCAATAGCTTCAATGATGTAAACAAATGCATGAGTAGTAAGCAAACGCCTCAGTACTTCCACAAGCTAAGGAAGGATGCAATAAACTCACCGGACGACAAGTGGAAAAAGTAGCCTTTATAAACATACACCGCAAAGTAGTTCGGCACTAAAAATACATACTGTTGTTTTGTTTATTCCCATAAATCGGATGTTGAGATCACCAAAATAAGCCACTCTTCCGCTGAGCATTCTGACTTATGTCCCACCACCTTCCAGCGACACCATCCCACCAAAGGCAAGCACTCACGCAGACTCCAAATGTAAGCGGTTGAATGAAACACATGCAGGATGTACGTCATCAAACACAAGTGCAGTCGACAAGCATGATGAAGCAGTGCCACACCTCTGGCCTCAGTCCACATCCACTACGTGGGACGGAGGAGCATGGGCACCGTCTTGCATCCGACGCCACCTCCACCACGTCGCACACCAATGCAACCTAGGCCTCGAATTTCGTGAGACCCCGATCTCGCACCAACGTGGACTTCATCCTCTACTCGTTCTGCAATCGTGTATCGCCAAATCACCTTCAGATTTACCAACATCACTTATCACTCTTGGGTGTTTCCAATCTTCTTCGCAGGCTCAACAAGAATCTGGGGTAAAGGCAGGTGAGGTGGTTAAAATACTTTGTTTACGCGATTACCTGACGTTTTGCGGTCACTTTAGAATTTATCTCGCCCCTGTACACGTAAGCTGGCTTTCAGGCCTCGCTCAGGCCCCATTTGCCCTGTCGTCTTCGAAATATATGTATTCAACCTCACTTATGCCTTCTTTCATCCTATGGGAAACCTCGGGACGCTACAGTGGTCGCATTCGACCCATACCTTTTGAACGCCTATTTACTAAATACATTGCTTTTCCGGTCTGCGCAATAAATTCCGCCTCATTCCGTAGATGCTAGGAGGTGTACAACTAAGTGAGCCTTGAAACCAATGCAATCGAATGATATCACTGCGCTGACGCCCATCTAGGAGGGCTTGGAAAAACGACGAAAAATATGGGACTTCATATTTATACTTATGATGCGAGTATGAGTTGCTAAACAGTTTTTACGAATGGCGCTGTAATACTTTGTTCATGTGACTACATGACATTTGGCAGTCGCTTTAGAGTGTGTCTGGCCTCTGTACACAGGGGTTGGCGTTCGGGCCACGCTCAGGCCCCGTTAGCCCTGTCACCTTCGGAATACATGTATTCAACCTCACTTATGCCTTCTTCCATTCTAAGGGAAGCCTCGGGACGCGGTGGCAGCGGAAAGCGAACCCGACGTTCTCTTAACGACTTTTAGGTGTAAGGTGCTTTTGAAAGCGACATAGTGTTCGGGCAAATTAATTACCCAACAGACACCGCCGTCTTACTGATATCCTACGTTTGCGTTGCTAAACTTTGCCAATTATTCGACCGATTTCCCTAAAAGAACAGTACGAAAAAGCCGGCGAGCAACGGTTCGACCGGATAATGCACTGGTTCAATGCATACAAATACCTCAAACTCGAGTTCCCTCGGCCGGGAAGTCAGAACCTCTCTTTTCATGACCGCAAAGGAATTCTACAGGCGAAGAAGGACGTAAAATGAAGGAGGCGTATTTACCTTGTTGACGGTTAATCTCTGAATCCTTCACAACGGAAGAGTTGAGACTGACGTCTGCATTTGGTTTCACCTTATTTCCGTGTTCCACAAACAAGCTATTACCAACTGAAGCGACACCGCCGTGAACTATCTGGAAGGGTTTCGTGTTGGAGTTTCTCATACAGAATCCGTGTTTAGGTGTCGGAAATGACACTACGGTTCTCCTCGCATACGGGACAGTGGCTCGTGCCGTTATCCCTGCAACATATCTGTTGTAGACCAGAGTTCCACCGTCCACTCCTGGTAGCAGTTGATGATCAACATGTGTAGGCGGCACCGGATCTGGTTGTCAGACCGAACGTAACTTCAGATCCAGTTGGAGCTGCCGAGAAGATCAGGTACGTTTCCTCTCTCTCGAGTTGTCTGTCGCGCCGAGGACGTCACTCAAAAGAAGAGAGGGGCGTTGTAATACTTTGTTTGTGTGACCACATGACGTTTGGCGGTCACTTTAGAGTTTGTCTGGCTCCTGTACACCGGGGTTGGCCTTCGGGCCTCGCTCAGGCTCCGTTAGCCTTGTCGTCTTCGGAATACATGTATTCAACCTCACTTGGGCCTTCTTCCATCCTAAGGGAAGCCTTGGGATGCTACAGGCTCATTCCTGCCACTTTAAAATGCTTAACTTGAGGCGCATGTTGTGTCAATTGCTGGAACACATCAACATAACTAGCAGAAGACTCAGCAGCCGTAACTGCAGAATTAACTGGATTACCTCTATCGCATTTTCCTTGTTTACAGAAAAAGAGACGGTGTTAAAAAAATGGGATAAAAAACACTTAAAATTTGCCCAAGATACACATTTTTAGCGTCTATCTCTCATCTGACCACTACATCAGGATAATTCCCACATTGCCCCAAAGATGTTAGACCTCTTTCAGTAAAAAAAGGTGAAATTTTCCACTCCGGTGGATGGCTGTTACATCATGACCTCTAGTCCTACCTCTGATAAATTCAAAAAGGCTTTCCACATTCCCGAATACAACACATGATCACAATAATACGTCAAGTTCTACTGTCCTCATCGTACACCTGTGACCAACTCAGCTGATAACACCTTTGCTTGCACTAATCTTTCTAGTTAAGTGTGTAATAACTTAAATGGACAATGATGGTTAATTCTCGTGAGTCTTGCGACAAGGTATAATAATTACGCGCAGTGCTAGAAATTTAACAATCTTGTATACGTCTCTGTTTATCTTGTATGAATGTTTAGGCAAATCAACCAAAGAGAGTAGATTAAGACATCATATGTGGATATAGTCCTTGCTCTAGAGTACATAATTCATCATGACAATTAAATACAGGATTTTGTTTGACTTGATCAAAATGTCGTAAAGCTGATTATAGTGATGGTCGTGGGTTTGCTTGGTCTCGTTACCCGCGGTGATGCGCATGTTTTTGAGCAACCATCTTCTCCGTACCTTGTCATCAACCCAATTGAGCTGTTAGCCAATGTAGTATTAAAGCCCTCAAGTGTTGCTTGTTTTGGTGCATACGGTGTGGACCTTCTACTTGCGGAAGCATTATTTGAAGATGACCTAAAAGACATCCTCAAACGTGGCCTAAAACTTATTCCCGTTTTCGATGGTATATCAGGCAGAAGTGTAAGCCTGAGCTTTTCATTGTTGTTTAGACTTTAGATATGAAACTTCGCGCAAGTCGTTGTCTTAAAATGAAGAAGCATTATAAGGAAGCTGATTTTGATATTGCAGCTTGTAAGTATAGCCTGTATGGAAATTTTTTCCCCAGTGTGCGTCAGTTTGTGATAGCATGCCTACAGAAATTGGGTGTGCATTGTTTGCAATCAAGTTATGGATCCATGCCGGCGTGTCTTGGAATTGCTTATCATCTTGGTTGTCCGATTGCAACCATGTCATCGAAGTACTATCTCATATCACGTCCCACCACTCTACCCGAAGAGCTTAAGCCATCTTCTGTCGATGAAGTGCAAATTGTCGATCTTACAAAGGACTTTTATCAGGTAGACACGGAAGATGGTAAGGCTATGCTTAAGCTAAGGGTGTTTCATCCTGAAATGTCCGCACTGCGAACCGTACCTGCGGTGTCTCGACCTCTGATTGCAGTACTAATGAATTCTGATTTGCTCCATCGACTACCAAGCGAGATAAAATGTGAGCCGTCGTCCAATTCGGAAAAACTAAGGGCAGTTGTAGACTGGGTTTCGAAAACGAATCCAATTCACGTTCTGCGTGCAATAATGGAGTCGATCACGGACCCGAATTTCATCGATTATATTTCAAGCAATGTATTGCTGTCCTTAGAAGCATTTTGCCCTGACTTCGTGGAAGCCTCTGACATGCTAGCAGTTCTTGGTATCGACCAACTGATTGTGCCGGTAAAAGCACCAACAAGGAAGCTCGAAGTGGAGAAGTGGCAACTTCAAAGGCCCTCTTCACCAATGTTCTTCTTCGAAACGGCATCCAGACTATTGAAAGGCGGTTCGTTAATGGATCGTCCATTAGACTTTCTCTATCGTTGGCCTACTGCTCTAGTTCACTTGTATCGTTTTGGATTTCTGGAGAAGTTTTTTATAGTCCCACTTTATAGTGAGCTGGGGCTTGTTTTAAATTATACCAATGACTACCTCATTGAATTGCCTAGTATTTATGGTCCAGGCAGGATTCTGCGCTATTTGCACTACTGCTTATTAATGGGGGTGGAAGAATCAAATGGTCTCACCTCCAAACTGATAGGGTTACGTCCTTATGCAAGGGAAATATGTTACGAGGGTCATTTTCGTTTCAAGACACACATGTTGGAGGTGAAGCCCATGCATTTACCTTGCAGTTGCTCGGGAGATGCTTTTATTTACGCCTTTATTGGATTCGATTGTACTCCAGAAGTGCCTACTTGGAGCATTGCTTTGGTACTTTCATGTGTGCTCTGGCATCAGCAAAAGGTGGAGCACCGAGATTGTAATATTGCTGAATGCCCGTTGATCCTGTCAGCGTTACTTTTGGCAGTGGTCACGCATTACAATGTAGAGTGTAGCGTGTTGACGACCGTAGCAGAACACTATGGCTCCTTGAAGTCTCTAGTCTTGATGAAAATGGAGGAGAGTGGTGCATCAGTAAGCCCATCGGAAGAGAAGGAATTAATGCACAGTGCGTTAGAGTTGATGGCGATGTATGATCATTATGTGTCGCTATGTCGACTTCTTACTGCACTGAAAGAGGGCGATGCAGAGGCTGATTTCTCATCTGCCGCCTACAATCGCTTTCCTCCAAGCTACGAAATGTTTCCTTCGCTTGCCTTACTCGTTTACATAGCTTCTCATTTGAGGTGTCAGGAGGCACCGTCTGGCGTTGCAGTTCGACTGTGGGTGGTGAATGCGTTTCTGCGCACTTCCGACGATATTAAGGATTTAAGAAGATTGAAAATAGTCGTATCCATGTTTTCCACTCTGATGGAATTTGCGTCGAAGGTAAAGCTGAAGTTCACCCCACCCACGGTACATGTGGCAGATCCGCCGCGCTGCTTTTTGCTCAAGGAGGAGAGGCCGCCATTGAGACGGAATGTCAATCCAACCGACAGAAATATGTTTATGCCGATGCGAAGCGGTAACCGAAGGAGGTCAACGCGATCAAGTTACGCTAGACAATTGACTGAACGAGTTGGACAAATGCGACTAAATTCATAATTCTAACTCTTTTTGCCCGTACTTTTTCGTATTTTAATACTTTATTCGGTGAAGTAATCAGAATATTTGCTACTTCACCAATTTTCTGACTTGTATTTGAGTAGGTCAGTGAGTCATTAGTTTGGATAGAGGGTTGGTAGAGGGCAGTGACTTTAGATGTGGTTTTCTATGCGTTGTACTTTAGAGTTGGAAGCTTGGGGTTCTCTTTTCTGTTTAATTTCGAATTAGTAGGTTAACGAGTAAATACAAAGTTGGTTTATTTAGCTCAAGAGAAGTATTTTATTCGTCAGTGGCAAAATGAATTCGCATATCATCAGGGTTCATTGGATGACGACACCTGTTGACATATTTGGTTGATGGCATTCAAAGAGTATGAGCTGTGTCGGCAGTTGTAATGGCATCCGGCGGTGTCGATTTATTGAATGAAAAGTGCTTGTAGGAATCGAAATTGGCTACACACCATCGTCTGCATTGCGATCCCTCCCTATATTGCAGTGTCGGGGCTCCGTTTGTCGCGACCCCTTGTTTATGTCTTTGCATGCAAGAGGCATGTGGTAATATTGGAGTCAGCTCAACTCTTCGACTAAAAAATGCATCCCGGAAAATTACCTCGAAGAACATTATATGCGCCAATTCTGATTGGCCAGATTTGGGAGAACTCTTTACAATCTTGTGATACGAGATGTATCTTTGAAACATCATTGTAGTCTATGTAAAACTGTGAGTAGAGGTTTTGCAGAATTGAGGACGGCTACTCCAAAAATTTGCATTCGAACGATGATTCGAACTCTTCCGAGACGATATCTCACTTACTGGGCTCGTCTGTCAGCCTGTCAGCTTATTGGGCTTCGTAATGACTTGTGAGGTACTTTTGACTAAGTTGGCATCATATTTTGACTTAATAACGGCCTAACGGTGAGAACCAGATGAGGTGAATGTTATAAACTTGGGTGTACAATGACTGTTGCAAATGCTCTTTGCGTAATCATTAAACATCCTGTGATGTGCCTTAGCCCTACCACTCGTCAATGGCACGATTACGTCATACCAGTGGTAAAAACTTTTCAGTTTCTGTTATCCACAATTGTCAAGAGCCACGTTTCCTCTTAAGGACCGTCAGAGTGCCTTGCGATCGCTTAGTAAATCTTCCATCGGCCACAGGACGCAAGAAATCGCGCTTCAAATAGCGGCTGAAGGAGAACCATCAACAAGTTGCACTGCCAATGAGAATGACGACTTAACCTTAATTATACAGGCTGAGAACTTTACCCATATGTAGTCTCTCGAGTTTGTGCCTGTGATTGAAGTATGACATGTGTGACGCGCTTTTACCAAAGTTTCTTACGCGGCTACAGATTACTTTTAAAAGGTCAGACTTATTCGACTGAGTTGAGAGGCGTGCTTCACAATTCTAATGCTACCTATTTGATGCGAGAATAGCGGTGGCACAACAATTTTTACCAACACTTTCAACTTCAAAATGTTCTCCCTAGCGTTACGTGTAGCTGTTCTGAAAGTCTTAGGCGTCTTCTTGTTAGCCGCCTCTGCTCATAGTCTGAGCCTCGAAAGCGAAGGCTCTAAGGTCTACATGAAGGATTCGGTTTACTGAGGGTTATCGCATGCTTTCAGTGATGTGGAGGCTAATTGTACTGCTTGAGACACGCTTTGGTGCATGTTTGAGTGCTCCTTGTGACCAATGGCGGATAGGATGGGCTATCACACTTGCAACCGCCTTGGAGACAATTAAATGGAGGCTCTCAGCCTGACTTTATAAAGTTGCAAACGATGTGAACAATGTGTGGTGCGGAGCTCTCCTGGGTGGGACTTGACTTGATACACACAGTGAGACACTGTTTACGATGTAGCGACTCCATCAGTCGTGGTGACAAACACAGTTTCTCGATATCAGCCACACGCATTTCTCACTGAAACCTCGTTTCGCAGCTAGTGTGCAGTCACGAATCACTGCGACATCTCACACCTTTCAAATGGGCGCTTGTTCATCATTGTGCTTATTTGCTTGTCCCATTATGCGCAGGGGAGGCTTTCACAAGCTGTAGCTCACCTCAGCACTGCCTTACAAGCGCTGCCAATGCGCGGATAAACAACAATGCATGTGTGGACTATAATGCTTTACTTATGCGACCACCACCCGGCGGGAAGTCTCACGGCGCTACATGGACTACATTTTCATTGGGTTGGTTGGTGATCCCAGGGGTGCATTCAACATTCAACTCCAGAATTTGGAGGTGTTGATAGGTTGGCACACTCCAGAGCGGCCTATCGCTCTGCAAATGTTTAGTAAATCTCAACTTACTCTCCATCTTGAGCTTCATGAGGATGACACTTAACCTCCGAGTAGTAAATAAAATCTCGAGGTTAGCGGAGTTTAACCCCAGGAAACAAAGGCTTAGACAGACGGAACTAGGCGAGCAAAATACACGCCCATACACACAATCAAAGAGGCAGTACTAGTGGTAAAACAAGAGACTAAGAAAGAGATCTACGTGCACTGATGTTGGTTTTTTGCTTGAGGACACAACTCTTGGGGATGCTGGCAAATGTACACTTGACCATCGTCCTCTCATAGGGCGTGGTCGTAAACGAGGTCCCAATTTGAGGAAAAGGGAATGATAGTGTGGTGACGTGAAGCACCACCAAGTCCGCTACATTGTAGACAATGAGATGCTCTCAATTCACTCCGCCAACTGGCAAGTGCCGATCTGGATCACCAAAAGGGAATGAAAACATTCATTAGAGCGATTACCGATGAAACACGACATTATTCCGATGACCAAAAAATACTTGTTTTGTTTTACCGCCATACAATTTTCCAGCATCTTTCCACTGTCCAGCCAAATTCACACTTGCATTATTTGCGCGTACATGCTGAGGAGTTTGCGAAGAACATCCAACTCTTGGCAATAAACATCACTAAATGCCGTTCCTGACGGGAATCGTCACGTGTATTTGACTAATTCAAAAAGGGTATTGCTCATCCTCCTTGATGGAACAACTCCTGCCGGTGGGTGCATGCAAGACCAGCCTACTCATTGATGCGAAACTCACCACAAAAAAGGTTTTGGTTCCTAATCATTCTCCTGGTTTCTGGGAGATGGTCCGAACCCTATGGACAACGATGAGCTCCTTTAAACGCTTCTTTCAAACCAAGCATGCCGCATTTCTCTTTGTCTTGCCTAATTCCTTATGCCTCATGCATTTAATGCTTGCACCATGCAATATAGAAGCCCAGCTGCGCACTTTCCTTCTGAACTCAAGGGCAGCCAGGTAACAAGTAAATCCTAAGGCCTTCCCAATTATTTATAACAAGATACAAACCTCTCCTCCGGCTACGAATCTACGCTCTGCAGAAGAAAGGGCGATCTTGGTGGAAGGAGGGACCTTTAAGAGTCTTAAATAGAAATAAAAGCTAATAGCTGGAAATATAAGGTACCAACTTCTTACGTCAGATTTAAGGGGTCATGAATTTTGGTAAAGACGAGTTTGGAACTCAGCGAAACGGCAAAGAGTTGGTCTACAAGAAGTGTCGGAGTGCTATTAGAGAAGAACAAGGACGCAAACGGCATCGATTGTACCAAATGTGTTCTATGAGCTCGAGACAAAACCGTTTGTTCTCGGCAATGCAACCTCAACGTTCCAGCGTCACATCCAAACCTTATTGCGCGACCCTTCCCAAAGCATTGCATCTTCGGTAGAGGTGTTCAGCAGCACAATCCCAACCTTCAGTCAGTATCGCATTGCTTTAAAGAGGCTAAATTGACTTTGAAGGCAAGAAAGCGCTGTCTTCATCGGACCTCAGGTAATTTCTTGGGATACACGGTCTCAGTCGACAAAAGGACTGTCATAGAAGACAGAACGAGGCATTTAAGGGCGTGGCTGACTCCTGATGACCAACAAGAATTCTGCAAGATCGTTGGTCTGCTGCACAAGTTAGTGGAGAAACAAGCAAAAAAAGCTTTCGTATGGAAGCTGAACACACGGGAGCATTTTGGGAGCTGCATGGCGCCCTGTGCGCTAATGTTTCACCCTTTGCTCTTGACACTACAGCAAGCGAAGTAGCGGTAGACATAGTTCACTTTAAAGTGCACACCTCTGGGAGAGAAAATTTCATCGCTTGGGCCAGTTTGCGTCAAAACAAAAAAAAAATGTAACAGAACAGTGAACCGAACTGGGAATTGTTTACCTATAATGAGCGGGCAGCCATTGCATTACACTACCTAATGAGCAAACCATTAGACTCTAATGAGCTTGAAGACGCTAAAAGGGATTAACTGCCTAGTAACCCAGCGGTATGAAGAACCGCCGCAGTATAACTTCATAGTGCAGTAATAGGAAGGGTAGTGGTCATGGCAACGCTGATGCTCTGCTCTGCCTTCCCTCCACGGTCGGTGGAGGCCGCGTAGCAGTAGGCGCATTGCTGTAAAGTAAGCCTGCTACCTGCCTCTGAAGGAACACAGAATATTGACTTCGATACGGCTTTGTCGCACAAGAATGTACGAAAAGCATCCGTAAAGCTTACAGCCAAGTAGATTAGCACAGCAAGAAAAGCAACTAAGCAACGATGGATGAAGTGAGAGAAAATGTCTTAAGACGACGTCATCTGATACGAAGGCGTTACGGCGATCTTCAAAAGCCTCGTAATGCCGACCCATCAACACAAACAACCCTGTCGAAACGACACAGAAGGCTTGGCCACGAACGAGAAACATAGGTGATCTTTGCAGCCCGTGAGCCCCGTGTATCAGCTTCAAGATCCCTCACCACACCACTTCGTCAGCCTGATTCTACTGGATTACCAGGAGGGAGTGGGCACCAACACAATTATTCGACTTCCAACAACCAAAAAATGCAATAACAGAATGTTTCACTGATATCGCTAAAGCTAGATTTCAAAGGCGCAGGATGCTGCAATAGTGATAATCACGGTTTTCACTACGGGGCAGTCGAGTTTTGTGTAACTATACCGCATTTCAGGAATCATAAAGCGCGCACAACACCCGAGCGCCTCCAAGGTAATGGGCAATGTACCAAAGGCGTACAGCCCCAAGATTGGGGTCAGCACTTAGAACGTGCCCTCCCGCTTACCTTGCTATCGCTCATTACTCGGTGAGCATTTCACCGAAGGCCAGCTCACGAGTAGAGGATCCAGACAGATCCTAAGGTGACCACCAGACGTCAGGAAGTCACGTATACAAAGTATTAAAACAAGTTATCCAGTTTAATGCCCTGACATAGAATAGGAGTAACAGTATCTGAAATCGCAAGGCTATTTATTTCAGTATTTAGTATCCTTTAAAGGAATATGCTTGTATGGGCTGCAGTCTGTTAAGTTGCTCCAAAACTATGGGAAGTATAATGCGATGTAGCGAATTATACAGAAATTGCAAGTTTGAATTTCTTAGTAGTCGATCATGAGATTTGGAGTGTGTCTTTATTGCCTTGTAAGTTGTTTCCATACATCGATGCTTTACTACAAATCCACAACTTCGAATTTAAATTCTGTGTTCGATATCGGCAGGTTGCACTTTCGAGGTCAGAATGGCTTTAATTCATGTTATACTTTGGTGGTCATGCTCATTTGCTTCCATTTCTTTCCAAATAACCGAATTTTAAATTAGAATTTATGCTTACTTCACCCGCATGTATTTGCCCGCTTATGTTCCTTGTTGACTGGCTCGTCCATTTTTAGGCAGCTCAGGTATTTGCTGCGCTGATTTTTGAGAATGGATGTCGCATCTAGTATCTTTGCATTTGACATAAAAGTAAGTTTGTCGCAACTTTACGTGCTTTCAAACATAGCAACTTTTTGAGGATGGAACGGAGAAATGTTTTGAAATGAACAAGGCTGGTACTTATCCAGTGAATGCAAAGGATCACGAGGCCACTGACGTTTGTTACATGTTTTGGTTATTTGGAGAAGATACTTTTCCGGAAATGCAAATGGCAATAAGGAAAGCCAAACAGGGTTCGTATAGTGATGGAAATCATAGTTTTTTTAGACTGTGGCTATTTGTGGTGCTGGGACTGTACCGAAGGCAGTGTGGCCGAGCTGATTTTTCATAAACTTGCTCTTCAAAAGGTCAATCAGGTGCGAGAGACTAATTGTTTCGAGTTAAAGTGTTGTTAGGACTTGAGTTACGAAAATACTAACCTGAGGGAGGAGAACAATCGCTTGAGGTAGTGTTTCCCTTCTTATTGGCACTGAAGATATTTGGAAAGTCCTTTTATAAAAATTATGGTGTTTCAAATGTTCCCCATTGGAATGTAGCTGCAGATACTAAATGAAATGCACCTTCATTAGTGACAGTAACTCGGTGACATTGTCTTCCTGTAGTAGTACTATGCATAGGCGAACGGTTTTCTTGGAGTGTCACAAAGTGGATATTGTGCCGCTTCAATTGGTTGCATCCACCTCAGGCAACTGCAATTGGATTCTGCGAAATCGGTGGACTCTGCGTCAGATGGGATGACTACATCGATTCCTGATGTGGATATGTGCACGATGTGCGATGAGAGCGTTTCGACCTACTATAACCCTGTTCCCGGGATAAATACGATACTCTCTTGTGCTGAAAGGAAGGTTCCAGTCGACGCTGGGGTGCGTTTTCGATTTCATCTTGACTCGCTGATTTGTTCTGTCACTTCTCAATTGTACTTATTGTCTGCGATTTCTTCATAGAGGCCTAAGTGGAAGTGTACTTCCGCCTTTTGGTCTTTTAAAATAAATCTTAGTGAAGTTCGTGTCGTTTTGCTATACGCTATTCTCCTCTCCCCACCTGTTGTTCTTTTATCTTGCACAGGAATGTAGGCTAAAATGTTGTCGCATTTTTTGATATGAATTACACTGAATTTGTATCTCCCAGTGGCTAATCGTTGCAGTTTGGTACTGTATTGTAGAACTTTCTGAGGTGACATATCTTTCGCTTGCAAATGCAAATAGACTCATAGTCTGCAGCCGCACTGCAGTTACAGTCGTTGAAACAGTTGGTCAAATATTTCCCGCAAAAGTAGAGCACTTCTGGCTGATGCAATTTTGATGCCATTATAGTTGAAAGGTGTCTATGCTTAGGCTTCGTGGCATGTTCATGAAGGATTTGTGCTCTGCAGACTTCATCGGCACTGACGGCCAATGTGCGTGAGAAGATGGAGGAGATAAGGCAGATGTTCTATGAGAGCGACAGCACAACGCAGCATCAGGAGACGCTTGCCGCGGGGATGTCCACGATGGGATTGATGAGCACGTTAAACACTTGCGGACCCTCGGCTCGGGTTAGTGCCCGCAAAGACGCTCCTTCTGCCCTGCCTGCCACTCACCCGCGTATGCATGCTTACCAACTTTGTGCAAATTCAAACGAGGAACATTTCAAGCATACTTTGAAGTTGTTTGCTTTGAATTGTCATTCGAAGTGGTTTATGTGTTGTTCGTTCAAAAAATATGAGTAGGCATCAAATTCCTACCTTTTAGCAATTTTCTTGCTTGATCATTATCTAAATTATAGGTGGGCTTCAGGTGCGTAATGACGGATCCCCATCCCTTCATTTGGCGCAGCCACAGGAGCCGTTAGGTTAGTTTTATCTCTTTTTTCCTGCTTAGCCTCCTTTTGGACTTGAAAGAATTTGTGAGTTTCATTGGCAGTCAGCACCATAGTTTACTTTAAAGGTTACTTCATTTCGGCCACATATTTCAAAGCTTAACCACGGTTGTTGTCGATGTTATGCTGATTTCCACACCTTAATGCTGCAGGATTGCTTGGCCTATATGTATCCTCAGGTTTATTCAAGCACGGCGCTTCTTGCCTGCAACTTACCCTACTTAGTTGCGGTTGCCCATACCTCCACTGCATGCATTGTCCTGAATGGTATTTTACTCCGTTCATTCTATTTTAATGCGTCTCATAGCTCATTTCATTGCTTACTTCTGGTGCATTGTAGTTCATTAGTTTATGGTTTGAGTAGTGAGTCCGTGTGTTGGATGATCCATTTTCCGTGTCGAAGGCTTGCAGATATTCAAGGATCCCGAAGGGTTGGCTGCATGCGGAGCTGAGCCAATGCGATCACGTCAGCCACTGCGGACCGTCAATCATGCATCGGCCATGCGCCGACCACCACCACCCTCTTCTGATGAGGAGAACTTGGGGTTTGTAGGAGTGAGGCGGGATGCTATCGCCCAGATCGACTCAGCCGGAATGACAATGTCCAATTTTACCTTACCTCTCGTTTTTGATCCTCCTTGCGCCTCCACTTCCGTCTTCACTGGGAGTATTGTCCCCTCCTCTATTGCATCTGCCCCTCTTAACCCCGCTGCAGGGATCCAGTCAAAGCAGCAGAGGCAACAGCTGGAGGTAGTTAGTTTTTGAATGCAGAGGTAGTTTATTGGATTTGCAACTTTTGTTACAAGAACTACTTTTTTGCACGTAGGAGGAGAATGACGAGATGGTAGTAGAAATGGGTAGCTTGTCACCATCACCGAGCAGGCCTGATAGTCCATTGGCAGATGCCTTCAACCTTTTCGTACGCAGTCCCGATCCAAGTGGACGTTTGCGCATAGACGCGACTAAGTTTATGGACGCCTTCCTCACCAAAAAAGTGGATAAGAGAAAGAACTCAGACAGCAAACGACCTCCACTCTTTTAGAGAAGAGGACCTTTTGTCTATCACAATGTTATTTCTTATCTGTATTGCCATTGAGGATGTGAGGCTTGAGAGACTTTTTTACCTAATTCGTTTACACTTGTTCGCTTGAGTTTTCGCATCACTGTGATTGGTCGGGAGCAGTGTTGTCTCGCGTAACCTGTGTCCTTATGAATGATTACGTCTGTTATAATTACCTCAGGTTTGACGCCACGCGCCTCGAATCTCCAGTTTCTGATACGCCTAAATGGCTAAAGGAGAGGGCTGAAATTCGTTGCATTCCGGTGGTGTGTACTATGTCTGTTGCATTCGTGACGGTGCACTTTTTGTTCGTACGTAGATCCATGTTGAGCCTGCGAAGAAGATCGGAAACACCCAAGAGTGATAAGTGATGTTGGTAAATCTGAAGGTGATTTGGCGATACACGATTGCAGAACGAGTAGAGGATGAAGTCCACGTTGGTGCGAGATCGGGGTCTCACGAAATTCGAGGCCTAGGTTGCATTGGTGTGCGACGTGGTGGAGGTGGCGTCGGATGCAAGACGGTGCCCATGCTCCTCCGTCCCACGTAGTGGATGTGGACTGAGGCCAGAGGTGTGGCACTGCTTCATCATGCTTGTCGACTGCACTTGTGTTTGATGACGTACATCCTGCATGTGTTTCATTCAACTGCTTACATTTGGGGTCTGCGTGAGTGCTTGCCTTTGGTGGGATGGTGTCGCTGGAAATGTGTGATGAGCGACACGCTTTATCCTGCAGTACACTTCCTGTGTCTATTAGAACTCCTGATGTAGTAGAGTTGCCGTGAGGAATTATTTACGTCGTGATTCTGTGCCACTTTGGATGCCTGCCTATTGAACAGTACGTGGATATCAGTTGAACGATTCTCTTACACCACTGATTGCATTGATGTGGAGGACGCGGGACACTCGAGCGTTAAAAGTGGAGCTTTGGAGAAGAGGGCAATTATGCAATACTTTTCTCGGCTTTTGATCCAGTTGCGCGGTCATTGTAAGCTGCTGTCAGTGCACGTCCTCAGGACTATGACACACAAGCCCTTTATTTCTTTATCTGCGATTCTAAGGGTCTTGTGGCACATCAGATGTAAGTACAATCACTCAACGTGCCAAGCAGCGGACACATCAGGCTCATTCTAATCCAGTCATTTGAAAGCTTGGATCTTGATGTTTTGGTCAGATTCTTCGGCTACCCTGCCGCCCCAAGCGGTATCTTTCGCAATAATTTGAACTCTTAAAGGATACTCTTGTAATGAGCCTAGTAGAAATGCTTGTGAAACTGACTTGAGTCGGCCGTGATTTGACCTATTTCGTATCTTAGCGAATCAACTTCCCCACTGGGGCTAACTAATTTGCGTGTTGGATGTTAACTCCGGTAAATGTTAGTTCTCCAGAAGACTGTTTTCTTTTTTCTTGGGCTGTTCAAATGCGATTCCTCGATACGCTTCAGTTAGGCTCCAGATATGTTTTCAGCCTTGAACTTGCTTTCATGCTTCGCATCGTGTCTTTGCTCCACTGTTCAACTTATGATTTATGAAATATAGTGGCGACAGTAGTGTCTGTCGACTATTGTCAAGTGTTCCGTGTCTAATGTTCCTTTTTTTCCAAAAAAAAAAAAAAAATGGCGCGTAAACGGCGCACCTTACAGGAGCATTTCTTATCGGTAAAGTTTCAACAACCCGGTAGGTTGTAACAGAAATTAACCACGGTAAATAAGTAGTTGGATATACAAAGCGGAGTTGACAAAACGCTCGGGTTAATTCGAATTTCCATCCATGAGCGGGGAAGAGCATTGTTGATGCTTGTAGTTCGATTTAGCTTTTGAGAACTAAATGGAACCAACGGCTATTACAGAGCAACTCAAGAGCTGATAATTCTATATTCAAGCCTTCGTGGCGCAGAAATCCCAGGTGAACTTTCGTCAGTTGGAGTTCAATAGCACTTTGGTGGTAGTGCTGATGACGTAGCAGAAGACAGAGGAGTTTACAAAGGACACTAGATGGGAGTCACCTGAGTTGCTTGTGTTCAGGACGTCCATACTCCTGGTAATGCCTGGATTTGCCTCGTCCATGCTCTACTACTCGGCATCGAGCCAAAAGGCGAATACTGTGTTTCAGAAATTGGTAGTCCATTAAGGCATTCGCCTTGATAATGTAGAGTGGAATAGTTGGATTTAAGGAGTGGGATCTGTTTAATTTGACCCTTTTCTGCTGGAGGATCCCGATAAGTTTTTTTAGCTAAACTTTCTTACCTGTTTGCTAAGCTTTCAAGCTCCAATGTACTCTGTCATAGTACGGATAAATATGAGATGTATTGAAGATTCCTTCAGCGTTATCTTGTAGTGGACGGTATCATCTTCATAAATCTTGACCGAATGGGTTGCTTTTGTTACTCGCTACCGCACAAACAACAACAAAACAAAGGAGGGTGGAAGGGGAAATGGTGATATTGATTCTCGAGAATTACCCAAAGGTGAAAGAAAGCTCAATTTCTGAATTGATGCGTATTTCCAAGACGTCGAGGCCTGAAACCAATGGCGTTGGGAGATCAGCCCCCCCCCC